GGAGAGGGGAGAGGGGAGAGGGGAGAGGGGAGAGGGGAGAGGGGAGAGATGAGGACCCTTGATCCAAACAAGAGTCAAGAGTCAAGATGCAAGATACAAGATACAACCAAGCGAGCGACGGTGCGGTTAGACGAGCGGGGAACAGGCGGACGCCGGACGGGAAAAAAAGGGGGGAGAGAGAGGGAGAGAGAACTTGGGGCGAATGAATTATGCTAATTATGATTTTGATTATTGATTATTTACAACAACCTCGCTATGTACATACAAGCGGCCGTCGAACAAATCCTACGACTGCCAGAGGGTGGCAAAGCCCATCGTCTCGTCGTCGTGGTTATGATCAATATACTTTCCCTGGAAGAAGACTGCGAGTATAGTGAGTAAGCATCATAGAAAAAAGAACGAGCCGCACAAGATGAGAAAGACGTACCTTGCCCCACAAGCCAGAACGGGAACTCGTCCGTGCCGTGGATGCTCGCCGTGCAGTTGTCCCCCGTGCTGTTCTGCACCAGCTGGCTGGGCAGGATGTTGAAGATCGTGCTCTGGTGGCTGACCGGGCTCGACAGGTTCGTGGAGGCGGCGGTGGCGTTGCTGAGAGAGGGCAGGCCGAATCCAAAGGTTGGCGGGTTGGAGCAGTTGAAGTACCCGGTGAGCGTGCTGGGCGCATCGGCAGTTGTGTTGGGGCTCAACACGGATTGGATGCCGGCCGCATCAAACAGGGTCTGTACTTGGTCGATGGGTCTGGATACGTCAGTCAGTCAGGGGTAAAGTGGAGAAATGGAGCTATAACATAGTGGGGAAATTTGAAGTAAAGCAAATACAAGGGAAGACGAAAACAGGATACAGAAATAGGAAACGAAAACAGGACGAAAACAGCAAATGAAAACAGGAAACAAAAATAGGAAATGAAAACAGGAAATGAAAACAGGAAACGAAAATAGGACGAAAACAGGAAACAGAATCAACGAAACAAAAAGCCCACTCACCCAAAGATGATCGTGGTCCCGCTGTCAGTAACCATCAACGCATCCCTCTCCACCACCTGCCCATCGTACGCGATATCCATATACGTACCCCACTCCATATTTGGGATCACCGGCGACACGCTCAGGGGCCCCTCGAAGCGCTCCTCCGCCACGTAACCAAAGTACTGCTCACCCGTCTCGTCCGTCTTGTATGCGATGCCGAAGCGGCAGGCATCGAGCTCGCCATGGTCGCAGAGCTGCTGGAACCACGAGGTCGAGTTCAGAGCCGTCTGGTAGAGCCCAGCAAAGCCGACGAGGCCATCGTGAGGGAAGGTCGGGGGGCTCACGGGGTCGGCAACGGCGCCGAGGGGTTGTGCGCTGAGGGAGAGGTTGGTACCATCGAGGCCGACGATGTCCTTGTAGACGGGGCCGACGATCTAGAGGTGGTTAGACAGGAAAGCCGCGCGAGGTTTGGTTCGGGGACGTACGGTTTCTGTGCCCGAGCCGTCCGGGTTGGTGGTCTCGAAGGTGATGGTGAAGTTGACGTGCTGGTCCTGGGAGATTGGACTGGGTTTGTAGACGCCTGGGTTGAGATAGACATCGGTGGAGCCGGTATCGATCAGAAGGATGAGATCCTTGCTGGCGCCAACGGTAAAGTTGGTGAACCAGAAACCCTATTGAGATGAGCGAGGTCCGGTAGATATATCATAGATCAGTGCAGCCTTGAATCACTCGATCCAACCCGGATGTCCCGGTCCCCAACTCGGCAAGCCCAACTCCGCTTCATACCCATCAAATCTCTGCGAGGCAGGAGATGGGAGTATCCATACCTGCTCATCAAACTCGGACGTATGTGCGGTCCTTCCAAAACCCGGGGTCGAAGGCAGGAGGATATTAACATCGCTCCTGATTCGCTCGAACGAGAGGGAGAAAGAGGAGCCGAGGACGACTTGCGGGACGAGGCCGGCGAGCAGGAGTCGTTGCAACATTGCTTAACTCTGATTAAGGTAAGATTCCTTTGTTTTGTTTTCTTCTTCTTGTGGGTATCACAAAACCAGGTCGACGCAGGACAGGAGTATTAAATTAGAGAGCTGTAGAACAGGTAACGAAGGAGGATCACGCGGGGAAGACCATGAGGGGGAGGGGTCGTCGAGGGATCGAGGGGTAAAGGGGTAAAGGAGGGGGGGCAATGCAGGAGAGTAGTAGCAAAAGAACGGCGGCTCTTCACGAAAAGATGTCAGATCAACGGAGTCGGAAGGATAAGCGCGCTTTTATATAAACGAGAAGCACGACAGACAGACGCGCAGGGGGCCTCACGGGTCAGGCAGGCCGGCTGCACATATCTCTCTGCACATTCCATGCTCATTTTGCACAAATTGCATATCGAGTTATTCCAGAAGAAGAATCCAGAAGCCCGGATGTCTTCTAGAGGCAGCCGGTCCCTGGTACAGTGGTACGAGATGCTGCACGTGCAAGGGATGCTGCACGTGCAAGGTACGCGAGGAGACGGGGCGAGGAAGGAGCGCATCTCTACTCTCGGCGACGCGCTCGATGCGGCAGGTGCCCAGGGGGGATGGGGATGACTAAGACGTAGGCCCATAGATCAATCCAGGCCGCGCATCATCATCATATCATATCATCTCATCTCATCTCATCTCATCTCATCATCCCTCGAGGTCGGTCGGTACCTTATCCCAAGACATAAATAATAATCAAGAGAAAGGGAAAAAAATAAACAAGCAAAGCAATCAAGCACTAAGTAAACAAGTAAACAGACCAAACAACAACAAACAAAAAAATCGCCCCGTCTCAAGATCCGGCCCTTCCAAAATCCAATAACTTCCCCCGCTAAGCACAAGTCACAAGACTCAAAGAGGCTCAGCTGAGGGAGGAAAAAGCAATAGTTCTGGCACCGACTGCCGTGCGGCTCCCGCCGCTGGGCCGGGACGGGTAACAAGCATGCTCGTCACCTGCCGTTTTGGGGGCGCCGCTAACCGCACCCGGGTCAGACTTATGTAAGGGCGGCTTCTCTAACTTCTGCCCGTGATGTAAGGTGATAATGATAATTGAGTTTTGAGAATTGATATTGGATGATTGATATTGGATGATAATAGATAAACAATACGCAGGGAAAAGCAAGGAAGCAGAGCGGGAAGGAGCGTCGGAACGGGGTGCCCTGCAGACTGCAGACTGCAGTGGGATATTTACTTTATTTACTTTATTATCCGTGTTATCGATATCCCCTTACCTTACCTTACAGTAGCAAACGTACCACTGATAATCATTTCTCTCTCTCTTATTCTTCATGATACCAAAGTAATAATACATATTCTGATCAATTGAAGAACCTACCTTACCTTCTCTACCTATCCCAGAAATCCTCATAGCGTAAGGTACCTACGTTACCACAACTACCTACCTTACCTACCTACCTAATCATCTCCTCCTACTCCCCACCACCAATCCCCACCTCCCCACCAGCCAGCCTCGGCTTTCCACCAAGCGAGACATAACGCGCAATGCGCATATCAATGCAGCTTATGGTTATTCGGAGAGTTTGTGTCTATATCTAGGTACCGAGGTACGTACTTTGAGAGATAGATAGGAGATTTGAGTTGAAGATCAGAGGTGGGCAGGGTTGTTTGTTTGTTTGTTTTTTTTTGGGGGGGGGGGGGGGGGGGGATATGATGGGGATATACGTCGGCCTGCAAGGGATTAGACAAGGCGACGATATCAACCATGAAAAGACCCCTCACATCACGGTTAACTATCCAACAATCTGAGAATATCCAGCTTTAATTCCCTTTCGCTATCCTAGCTAGCTAATGATTTCCCCACTCGTCCCATTCGTCCTGAGGAACGAGAGGCGAGAGTCCTGCCCGTCCTAGTCATACATTCAAAAAAAGCAACGCCTGCATTGAAAAGAAGATTCGTGTTCTGCATGTATCCAGTTATCCCATCCACCTGATCCGTCCTTGGATTGCCCCCAGAAGATCCTTAGTCGTACATTACGTGAAGGCGTGAACGTCCGTCGGTGATTCGATGCCAAAAGAAATTTTCATCCGCCTAGATCCCATTCCCATCATTAACTTAACTCAACCCGCAGTTTAGGGACTGCCAAAGAAAATGTCATCCTGGGCCCCGGTGCGGAAGAGGTCGTCTCCTCGACCACCGCCAAAGGCATCTTCGAACTTCCCCATCAAGAGGTCCGGTTCGCGCTCGAGCTGCGTGATCCCGTCGTGCCCGCTCTGCGATGCGAAAGCCTCCAGGAACAACTCATCGTCGTGCTCCGTAATGTTGCCCAGCGTCGCCAAGTCTTTAAACTCGCCATGGGTCGGGGTGTTGTCGAAGTCATAGTAGTGCGATGGGGCCGGCGAGGACGACGAGTCACAGAGCCCGGGAGGGGAGTGGTATTGGCTGTGCACGGATTTGGCTGGTGTGGCAGGATGCGAGGGGAGGTGCTCAGAGATACTGGCGACAGAGCTGCGATGTGAGTGGATGGTGGAGTGAGTACTGAAGGCAGATGGCGAGTGAGCACCCTGGATTGCCTGAGGGGACACGTAGTCGGGTATTGGAGATCGGGCCTGCAGGAAGCCATTGTCTGCCACTGACGGAGTCCGGCTATAGTCGTAGTCACCAAATGGCTTGCCGTCGAGGATGTCGTCCAGGTCACTGCGAGGAGAGTGGGCCGATGTGCTTTCGGAGCCGGTGGTTGAAGAGACCGAAGACACTGACTTATTCTTGCTTCGGGTTCGAGAAGATTTTGCTAGGCGCTCTTCATTGTCCGGCCGGTTCTTGCGAGGTCGTCCACGTTTGACGTTCTTCTTGACTACCCCCTCAAAGGCACCAATACACATGCCGCGTTGTCTGTGGCGAGTGAGAGCATCGTGTCTGGCAAAGCTGTTGCCGCATTGACATGGGTATGGTTTGATCCCACTGTGGATCTTGGCATGGCGCTTGAGATCATGTTGGCGGACGAAACATTTCTTGCAATGAGGGCATTGGAACTGTCGATCTCCAAGGTGCGTTTGGACGTGTGATTTGATGTTTTCCTTCCGGCCAAAGCGCTTCCCGCAATCAGGGTATAAGCATAGCCACCTGCCATCGGCGGGATCTGGCCCAGAAATGAAGGTAGCAATGTCATCGATGGTGATTCCAGTCTCGGTGATCGTCTCCTCGAGGTTGATACTTGACACTGACTCGGATCGTCGATATGGTGCTGGAGCTGGAGAGGCGGTTGGGAGACCATGAGCCGTAGGAGGCTCTGGATACATCATGGGCGCTTGCTGGTTGACAAATGGGTCTCTGAGCATTTCCATATGTCGAACTTCTGGAGATGATTGGTATGACAGAGTATGGGAGAATTCAGAAGAGACTGGAGAATATTGGGTCCCATCGAATTGTTCCTGTTTGATGGACCCTATACTCAAATTTGACATGTCCGCGAAGTTTCCGTTGGGCATGGTAGCAGGGTCGAAGCCATTTGAGGATTGCATTGTTCCACTTCGAGGTCGGCCTGGCATGGGAGCAGAGTCGAACCCATTCGAGGATTGCATTGTTCCACTTCGAGGTCGATTGGGCATGGAATTCAACTCCGACTGCTTCCTCATATCCTCAAACACTCCCCTAGCCCGTTGGTTACGCCTCGGTTTGATAGTCTCTTCCATGGATGTATCGTAGTCGTCAAGGAATCGCGCATTTGTCTGCTCTTGTTTAACCCCGCTATGGTACGGGGTGTCAACAGGCGTAGGTGGGAAGTAGCCTACAGATGTTAGCAGACTTACCACTGACAGTGAGAATACCTACTCTGAACATTCTGATTCGGGGGTGTAATCGGTCTTTGGTGTGTTCTCAAGGCTAGGCTCTCAAACTGAGCAACCCTATCCACGATACCACCACTGATTCTCCTTGAAGACCTTCTACTGTTGCTCTCGCTGTTCTGCATCCCGTTCCCATTTTCGAATGTGGCCGAGAAATCCAAGAATGCAGATGGAGTCAAGTTCCCGTCCGATGGAAACATATTGAAGTCGTGGCCCCCAGAGAAACTGGGGTCGACATTGATTGCCGTATTGATCGGTCCATTGTACATGTACTGAGGGGGCCGCTCCCCATATTGTGCTGTACAACTGGCATCAAAAGATTGTCTGTGAGGTGTGGCGATCGGCGAGTTGAGGTAATTCTCGTCGTTGTCAAATCGTGCGAATTGTTGGCCCGGGCGTGCCAGTCTTTGCTGCTGCGTTTCTCGCAATATATGCTGTGGTGTCGTCTGATATCCTGTGTTAGTAGTACTTACCGTATTTGTGTCCTGCTGGGGCGTTTGTCGTTGTCGAGTGTCCAGACTCATTCCACGGCGATGGGAGCCATGTCTCTGGATGGTGGGCAGGTCCTGTACCTTCACTGAGGTGAATGCCGCTGGTGTCGAATTTTGTCGTCGGTGTTGTCGTTGTCGGTTGTGAAGGTTGTTGTTAGGATTGGACAGCATTATGAATGCTCGAAGAGTTCGGAATGGGTATCGTTGAAAGTATTGCAATTAAGCAAACCTATAGGTTCCGAGACTGCGGTAGTGTCAGCGACTGGAGCAGGGAGTTTCGCAGAACTCGGGCGCCTCTCACCTCACGCAGCGCAAGCCGTTAGGCCGGGCAGATGGAGATCTTGGGACTTCTCAGCAGAGGTTGACTCTGTTTGAGCCTTCTGGGTATGTAAACGGCCTTTCTCAGGCCCGTGGGAGAGAGGAAAAGTGCGACCAGCGGGGGAGAGTGTTCGCGACCAGTCGAGGGGAGCTTTGGAGGATCTGAAGTTCTGGAGAGAGGTTCTTCTTTTCTTTTTTCTGTGAAGAGTTTGGAGGTTTGTCTGGATGGAGAGGGATGGAGGTTCAAGGGTTGGGATATGCACGAGCTTGGCGCATCGTGGTTGGTTTTCAGGGAACTCGTCAACACTCGGTTGCTACATAGCAACGACATCGCGGATCGCGCGCTCGCCGGGTCACCAGAGTGATCTGTGGTATTGCCTCGGAATATCCGTCGGCCCGTCCACGCTTATCCAGGGTCGGATGGATCCGCCGTCCCAGGAGTGTTTCCCTCTCAACGAGAATAATATTAACCTGAAAAATTACACGCCAGCTGGCTCGATCGGCCACCACTCGTCCATTGTCCTCCACCGAGTCAGGGCCCGTAGCACTCCTCTATCCTCGTTGCCTCTGCCATAGCATCTTCAACTATGGCTTCCGGCGGCACCATGAGAGGCACGCCCAATCGAGGCCAGGGGCGTGGACAGATGCCGGTCTTCAACAACAGCCCTTCGAACATCCCTCGTCCGGCCCTCGATGCTCATGGAGGTCATGGAGCTACGTCGACGATCAGTGATGCTGGGTCGTCCACCTTGACTGCCAGCAGACAGAAGCAGTCGAAAAGAGATGAGGTACGTCGACAACTTGTCCTATCATCGATCTAGCTGATAGGTTGGTAGGCCATCCGGAGGCGGATGGAGGCCGATCTCAGCAAGAAGAAGCATGCCACGGGGAGAGCACGGCAGACACGGAAGGCCCCTCCGGGAACTGTCCTCGCTTTACGACCGAGTCAAGCTCTCCAGATCAAGCCGAATACAACGGTGGCAGAGGCGGCACAGTTGATGGCAGCCAAGAGGGAGGACTGTGTTCTTGTTACCGACGACGATGACCGAATTGCTGGTATTTTCACTGCCAAGGATCTGGCTTTCAGGGTCGTTGGAGCCGGTATCAAGGCCAGCAGCATTACGATTGCAGAGATCATGACAAAGAACCCGCTATGTGCCCGAACGGATACGAGTGCCACGGATGCATTGGATCTGATGGTCAGAAAGGGCTTCCGCCATCTGCCCGTCATGGATGAGAACCAAGATATCTCCGGTATCCTCGATATCACCAAGTGTTTCTACGATGCCATGGAGAAATTGGAGCGAGCATACAGCTCGTCACGAAAGCTGTACGACGCGTTGGAGGGTGTTCAATCCGAATTAGGTTCAAGCCAACCCCAACAGATCATTCAATATGTCGAGGCTTTACGATCGAAAATGTCGGGTCCTACACTGGAATCCGTTCTTACTGGCATACCTCCCACAACTGTCTCGGTCCGAACATCGGTGAAGGAGGCTGCCGCCCTGATGAAGGAGAACCACACCACAGCTGTCCTTGTCCAAGACCAAGGTTCGATTACTGGAATCTTCACCAGCAAGGATGTAGTTCTTCGTGTCATTGCTCCAGGATTGGATCCCGCCAATTGCAGTGTCGTGCGTGTCATGACTCCCCATCCTGACTTTGCTCCTATGGAGATGAGCATCCAAGCCGCATTGCGAAAGATGCATGGTATGTATTGTCCATGGATCCTCTTGGATTGTGCTAATGCTACTAGATGGTCATTATCTCAACTTGCCAGTCATGAATGAGGGTGGTGAGATCGTAGGCATGGTAGACGTCCTCAAATTGACCTATGCCACTCTGGAGCAGATCAACACCATGTCAACTGGCGACAGCGAAGGCCCGGCATGGAACAAGTTCTGGATGTCGCTAGAACACGAATCTGAGTCGATGGTGTCTGGAGAGGGCAGTCACCATCACACTATAGGTGCAAGATCCTTAATGTCTCCTGACATGTCTCGTGGACATGTTGATCCCAGTGTTGGACCGGGCGATTCTGCATCTCATACTGGAGCGGATTCCCCGCCCCATTCTGCCGTGGCCGCGCATCCCGAGGTTCCACCAGAGGAAATCCCATTCCCGTTCAAATTCAAGGCACCCAGTGGCCGCGTTCATAGACTTCACGTTGTTGCCGCTCATGGCATGGCCGAACTTATTGACGCTGTCACCGCAAAATTGGGTTCTGAGGTTGACGCTGTTGGTGGCGCGGCCACTTTTGAGGATGGGAAGCTTGGCAGTTCCGGCTATGCCCTGAGCTATTTGGATGATGAAGGTGATACCGTTTCCCTCACCACCGACCTTGATCTCGTCGAAGCCATCGTCCTTGCTCGTCATGGCCACCGTGAGAAGGTAGACCTATTTGTGCACGACCCCGAGAAGCCCCCTAGCCCTGTCCCTGTCACTTCGGAACAGCCAGCGGCCAGTCATACCCCAACTCCACCTGCATCGACCATCCGCGAACGGAGAAGGGTAGTTTCTGATGAGGATGAGGAGAGCGAAGAGGAGCAACCAGTCAGGAGAGCGAGAAAGACCGCAGGGAAATCGACTGAAGACCAGGTAATTGCGGGTGTCCCTAACGAGTTGTTGCTACCAGGTGCAATTGTGACCCTTGCAGTGGTGATTGTGGGCGTGTTTGCTTTGACAAGGGCTACAAGCCGTTGATACGATGAGATGATGATAGATTGCCTGATGATAGATTGCCCGGTGTTCCTTGATTTTACACTTATGCGTGCACGCAGCATTCATGCCTTAGTGGCTTAATATACTTTTCAAGATAATGTGCAGAAAACCAACCTCTCTGATGTAATCATCATTATTTTGTGAAATACTGAGCAGGGCAAATTTGTTGCCTTCAGGTTGTCCAACGGATCCCTTTCAATTACCCATTCGACATCAGTCGCTCCCTTCCCAGATAGGTATAGTGCATATTCTCCTAGCGCAATATCGAGCTCCGCGAAACCTCGAAAAAGTTCACCACCAAGACCAAACGACAGCTAAGTCCCCTATCGACCATGATACTACGAAATGTAGCTGTACGGCATGGTGAGTTGAATACATTGTAAGCACCTATGATATTCGTCCTAACAATACCTCACAGGCCGTAGGGCACTTGCCGCACCACTCCGCAGATCATGCCTTCGATCCCTTACCACCGAAGCTCTCACCCAAGAAATCGAAGCAATTGAGCGTTCCATAGAGAATCACACAAGGGAAACGCATTCGATTGAAGCAAGTATCAACCAACTACATAGCAGTCGCTCTTTTGTCCCTCCTACCGTCGCTAGCGAGTTTCCCTCGGAAGTCGCAGAACACCACCACCTCTTCCGCTCAATCAAGAAAAAGACAAACAACTTGGGCTCCGTTCTAGGCCCACACTACAAACCGCATGAGCTCATCACAAATCCTCCCCGTCCAAAAGATATCTCATTGGAGTTGTTACTCGCGTCCCAGACCCATCTTGGCCATTCGACGAGTTTATGGAATCCCGGAAACCAACGGTATATTTATGGTATTCGCCAGGGCGTGCATATCATTTCGTTAGAGGTTACGGCGGCACATCTGAGAAGAGCAGCAAAAGTAGTAGAGGGTGTCGCCTACCACGGCGGTCTCATCCTCTTCGTTGGCACCCGACCCGGCCAAGCCCCCGCTGTGGTCAAAGCCGCGCAGCTTGCCCAAGGCTGCCATCTCTTCGAGCGCTGGACTCCCGGCTCCATCACAAACAGGGATCAGATTCTCTCCAGATGTGCGATCAAGGCTGTGGACAAAGATGATAACGTTCTGGATGGGTATGATGAGAAGCTCGCAGATTGGACAGCCTTGAAGCCAGATTTGGTGGTGGTGCTGAATCCGCTTGAGAACTATATTCTCTTGCATGAGTGCGGACTCAACAACATCCCGACTATTGGCGTGATAGATACGGATGCTGATCCAACTTGGGTTACCTATCCAATTCCTGCGAATGATGACAGGTTTGTTCCCCTTTCTTCTCTTGCCTCCTATATAGCATTACCTGTTTGAAGGAGACTAATTTTGGAATAGTTTACGCTGCACCCAGTTAATTGCCGGAATTTTGGGACGCGCAGGAGAAGAAGGGCAAAAGAAACGGCTTGAAGCAGCGAAGGAGGGTAAAATAACTTGGCTGCCACCTCCTGGTCTCGGGCCTCCAGTGTTGGATGATGGTGCATCTGCGCCTCCGGCATCGAAACAAAGGAGAATTGCCGAGGGGGGTGCGGAACCAAGAAGGAGAACTACTGAGGCCGACGCGGATCTGTAGCATGTATGATAATATAGATTGGTGATGTGTTGGACGTGTATATTACATGGTTGGCATGGCGCGGCGCCTTGGATGTAGAAATGAAAGCGCTGTTCCTGTATATATAAATCCCCTCTATTTGTACGGCCACTGCTTGATATATTGGGGCAAGTAATCCCAGCTACTCAGATTAACACTTGAATACTAGGTACCTAACCAAACACCTATCATAAGCAACAAACCCCCAAACTCCCTCTTCCTTTCCTTCCAACAATATGATCCACTTGTAATCTCCAATAAACCACCAGCTTTTCTGAAAACGTGACATGACTGAGAGAGGAACATAGCGTAAAGCATGGGTCAAGCACGGGCAAACCCAGCTCACCATCCAATCCCGTCCTAATTTTTTTGCGGCACAGAGTTTCTGTTGCACATCGCAAGCTCAAGCAACCTTGCGTGCCTGAAAAACATCCCCGCAATAGATCTCGCCTTACCAGATATCGTTAGACGCATGTAACCGAGACGTCAAAGCATTCACGGGTCTGTCTGCACTTCATTCTAGAGCCATTTATGAATCGACTGCATCCATGAACAGTGTCTGAATTGTGTGAAAGTTCACATGATGAGATATGTGATTTCTGTATAGAGTGGATGCAGATGTTAGGGGAGGGATATTGTGGGGATTAGGTAACAGGATGTGGTAAACCGTTGGTTTGGGGTTGATATACCTACCGATCATACTTCGAAAGTCCTTTCCATGCTGTCTTGATCTATGCATGCATCGTTGAACTAGGATGTCTGCAAACCACCAAAGTGCCTGTAGGTGGAGGGCGGAGAGATATAAGTAGAGAGGTTGGTGGTGATGGAGTTGAATGTATTGCTGGGAAAGTTCCCCTTCTCCTCATGCGGCTCAGCCACTTCTGCAAGGGCAGCCAGGCCGTTCAAAGATTGGTTAGCCATGTGTTATCAACAGAATCTCTTGAGCTAATGCTTTGCTATGTAACTTGCCTCCATTGTTGTCAATAGCATTCAAATTAGCTTGGAAGATTATATTAGAAGCTGTAAGTGCAGTTGTGTTTGCAGGTGCGTGAACGGCCAGGCGCTCGATCTCCACAACCTCAACTAGAAGGCAGGTTGCATTTTTGCAGCATAACTTGTTGAAGGGTGTGTAAAGATCAAACAAAATCAAGGTGAGTGGGACATATAATGAGAATGGGTGCAGGGAATCGTATCTGCCGCTCTCAAGCCTATCTATGCTTTCCAAAGTTCGATGATCTGTCGGTAGAGAATTGGAGATGATGCAGTAGAGTCTGGCTTTGGTATTGATGGAGGATATTCTACTTATCGTTTCTCGTGTTCTGACACTCTTTTATATACGCCACAGATCTCAGGATAATCAGGTACGTCGGGATTCCGCATAAGAGCTGTTGCTGTCACGTGTATCTGCAGGAATATTTCAAAAATTTGGGACAGTGAGGGAGGCCCAGTACTGTTCTTTGATGTAAGGTCCCGTGCTTGTGCCTGCAGAGCAAGTGAATTTCCCCTCTTCGGCAACTCGCTTGCACTAGCATATTTTCTGAATATCATGTTGAGAGCTCCCCATTTCTCTTACATTCGGATCTTCTATCATATCACCATTCCCAGGACCCCAGCGAGGTTCACAAGTTGGTAGCAGATCACGCAATTCTGTTGCTACCTCTTCACCATGCTGACTCCAGCGATTGTCAACATCGTTTCCTTCTTCTATCCCATAGGGAATACACCTGCCGTGTGTCTGACACAGGACCTTCCACAGGATAAGAAAGCTGACATTCTCCTTCTTGGATGCGGAGATGTCCGCAATATCCTCTTCACGACTTACTGCAATAGTAATCTTGGTCAGTCAACCCGTTCTTGAGAGACATCAAAACCAATATTTACACCTACCAGCAAGTCGTCCTCTGGACATCACATGTTGCGACATTGCGCCTGCTATCCTAGGTATGTTTCCTTATTAATTGCATTTTGCGCCTCTAATGAGATATCTAGCCCGTAACGTCCTGTTGTTTACCCTGCTCCTGGATGACATCAAGGGCTTGAATCATAGCGCCATCTGGAATGCCTACTACCACATATTTCTCGATGCTAAATCTCTCGAACTTGCCCACCTTCAATCAAAGAAGCTGCATGTGCTTGCAACTTCAATACAGACTTGGCATGGCGGTGAATATGGCAAACTTCTTAGATTCTGCGACAATGAGACACTCAACAAGATCCGTGAGATCTGGGGCGGCTACTCCGTCTTGGATTTGAGCGAAGATGAGATGAAGAGTTACAACAAGCGATTCAAGTCAGATCTGGAGAGATCCCTTAGCATGAGGAAAGACTTGCGGGAGATGGGCCTTAATCTCACGGTTCTCCGATCCGCCGCTCCTGCACCTCCCTTCGCCCTTGATAATGTCACCGATCTTTATAGATATTACCGGGACCATGGCGTTACAGATCATGATCCTGCCAAGTTGTCGAAAGCTTCATATCCAAATCCTATGTTCGCCTCTGTGGTGACGGACTCGGACCCAATGATGCTTCATTACGGCACCGATCCGCTTCTTGGCTTTCATCTTGCGACAGCCTACGTACCCTTATCTCCAGGTTCGCCTTTCTGTCCGCAATCGCCAAAAACCTCCCACCTACACAAGGCTGTAGAAGCAGCGCGTCTCCAGTTCCGGACGTGGTCTATATCATTTTGCAAACGCGCTCAACAAAATCTCGTTATACGCTTCTGTACTGCGGATGCACTTGCATTTTGCAATACTTTGGAGTATAAATTGACCACTAAAGAGGCCATATCTGCAAATATGTACCGTGGCCCATACGGATTTGAGCCACTTGTTTTAGACGGCGTGGACTATGCTTCCGATGGTAAAGCGCCGTTTTCATTTGATGTAATCGATTCTTCGAACATCATTGATCACATTGGAGCTATCAATGTTCTGGTGGCCACCTCACCATTGCTTAAGAATAGCTTCTCAGCCACCCTTTACACGGAGTCGCTATTGAAGCGAGAGGAGAATCACAAGGCATCAATGAGTAAACTTCTTTGTGGTCACTTGCCCACTATCTCAACTTTGCTCAAGCTATTTCCTATGGAATACTGGACCAATGCCACTGCGGTATCAACTAGTCATGAAGGCCTCTTAGACACATCGTTGGCCACGACGCAAGGCTCTGGAGACAATGGCTCGAGACAACTGCAATTGCATAATAGATTGATTTGGAAACGACCAATTTCGGTCGCCAATGGACAGACATCAATAACGACAAGACAAGAAGTCCATTTCGACGAACAGGATTTGGCCCATATTCTCTACCAAGTCTACCAAGAAATGTTCCAGCACGAGAATCTCACGAGACTCTTTTCTAAAATTGACGTCCAAACAATAAGCAAAAGTTCCCTTCCATGTTACCATCGAGGGAGTCTAGTGGCATTTCTTCGTCTGGTCAAGAGGACAGCAGTGGTCAATTGGGCTAAGATGATGGAGAAATTCCTGGACTTATTTGAAAATGATTCTTCTCTCATGATGGGAAGCAACTACTTTCAGGAGTTCTATCTCCAGCTTCATATTCATGGAGTTTATTCAGTGCCCACATTGGAACCATCTTACAACCGCCTCACGAAACTGCAGCCTTCAGGAGGCTTGAGAGCGTGGAAGGATATTCCAGAAGTTCTGTGCATTACGTTGAAGGTACCAAGATCTAAGCTTGGAGTAATTACCAAGCTGCCTGTCTCACAAGTTGGCACACCTATTCTTCATTGCGTCTTACGGTCTTCTCCAACTTTCTCTCCTCAGGCCCAAAATATCTTTGCAATTTTGCAACTCTCGTTTGGAGAAATTACCACTTCGGGTCCGAGAAATACTGACGCCTTCAAAGTTCATGTCGCCGAAGACCGCAGGGGTTGGGCTGGAAGCTCCCCTCTAATTGCGTCGTTTTATGTTCCAACCTGGTTCCTTCTGCTCGAACCAGAGAAGGGACTCATAATCCTCGGCATACAAACTACACCGCAAAGCTTCATGACTTTCCATAAAGCTCTTGGACCTGAGATGAGCATTTACAAGACGACGTTGGGTAATCGAGATGATGTTTACATTACGAAGCATCCACCCAACCAGTCAAACTATCCATCCGTACCCCGGATCGCCCCCGCCGATACAAAGATCATTGATACCCTGAACAATTCCAGTTGTGCCACCGTCACCGCACAGGTTGATCGCAAGAATGCGCAAATGTTGGGATTTACTGGCCGCATCGATTTTCTCTCAGGAGCTACAAAGTCCATTTTGGGGAATGAAGCCGCAGTCAAGACTCTCCAGATTTCACCTTGCACCGTTGATGTGGTCGTCGGTTCCGGTTTTAGCAACTCCTACAGACTTTACTTTCCAGCCCCGGTTCTACACTCGAGGAGAAAAACCCGAATCGCGCGCAAATCTTCGTATGTGGAAGTTGTAGTTCCTATTGCTACTCTTTCCCGGGGTGAAGGATTTCCACATTTCATGTATCCGCTATTCCTAGAAGACCATATCCCCGTGGTCTGGAACATGCCTCACTTGGACCTTCAATGCCTTCCTGCAATTGATATGACGAAAACCAAGGAGTTGGAGTGGCTCGTCACACATACGTCTTTTCAATTTTCCAGTCGAGAGAGGGTTTCAAGAGAGAGCTCAAGTGGCAATGACCCCAACGATGTCCGGCTCAACTTCAAGGACTCTTTGTTTTCCATATTCATGTACTTCACTGGCCTTCAAGGTAGTGGTACAAAGCGCAAGATTTTCGGGATCGACCATCCCACTAGAGGCGTGCATATCATGGTCTTCGTTTCTTCTCTCCGACTGGATTTAGCAAACCACACAGTAGTGCTCGACGCCGCCGTTCTACCGTTGAGCGATCGACTGGTACCGCAGATCCGCCCCTTCCTAGCCGCAATTTCAGGGCTGGGACTTTGCATGATCAAGGTAAACGACGACGAGTTTAAGCTCTGGAAAGAAATGCTTCCCGCCTGGGTCGAGCGCTGCCGGGAATGGAAGCATAAATCATCCTGCGAATATAAGCGTAAAGATGCCATACCACTGAGCGTTGAAGAGGGTCAAACGCCTCTATGTTCCTGCGGAAACGGCATCCTGCCACCAAACTTCATCTCTGACGTCCCGCAATGGGACATGGCTTCTAAACACGCTGTTCGAGCGGCTATCTCACCGTCTTTCTCTGTCCCGTATGTGGAAGATGTATTCGATTTCAAGAAATCAAAGGAGACGCTCATGGCTGCGAATCGATGTCGCAAGTGTGGCAGGGAGAAGTCAGAGGGAGGGGGTTCTTTGTTGAGATGTTCGAGGTGCTTAGTGACGAAGTATTGCTCGACTGAATGCCAGCGGGCTCATTGGCAGGAGCATAAAAAAGTGTGTAAGAAGTGATCAGGGTTGGATTTCGGGTAAAACTGCAGCAGGTTGCGAGAGTTGAAGGCTTTTCATGCTTTCAAAATATTTGAGATCCAGCAGTGAAAATTTTTGTAAAACTAGGTAGTTATCATAGCATTGAGAGTAACACAAAATTGAGCCTATGCTGAGTTAATGAAATCAATCTTTCTGTTTCTGATCTGGACGTTATTTTACTGTAGAAAAGGGGGGGAAGGGGGGGGGGGGTGTATTAGGCGAGTGTCACGTCCGTCTGGTCACATTAGACTGTCTTTTCCCATACCAGGACTATTCAATTAGGTTCAAGTATCAGACAATATTTTCGTTTGCCAAGCTCTATATGATGGGAGATTCATGAATCAACATGGTAGATTTGCATGGACATTCCCGTGAAAATGGAAACAAGAGCATATCACGTGCCACCTCGCTTAGGGATTCCACGATGTTTCCAGCACGACTGAGCGAATATCTCATCTCTCACCATCACCATCGAACCCATCCTCGAATAGGAAATTCCCAACCTCATTGCGACCCTCTGCACGTCGGAGAGAGGACCTGCAGAGCAAACCGTGGCAGCGTGGAGGAAAACACTTGAGGATCTTCTGTCAGGTTTTAATTTGTAGGAGATTCCGCAATTTTTCCCCGCATTCAGAAGACAACAGTCTAATATCTACTTTAGCTACCCCTGAACCCCTGAGCCTACTCGTAGCACTGGCACTGTGAAGGCGCCAAGATGCCCGCAATGCTCGACGACCCCGACGCTCCAACGATCTACCGCAGCTCTGGCGCTTCACCCTTCCCAGACCCTCACGATACCCAGCCTTCTCTCCCCGTTGATGTATACCCCCGCCAAATCACTCTGCGAGACAGAGTCACCGTCGCGACTATCGTGCCCTTCTCCTCCCGGCATCAAGTACCCCCTTCTCTGCTTGCCTATCTCAGCGATCAGCTCAACAAGGAGATAGAGACGGGGGACACATATCCTATGATCGACACCATGTCGGTGGACAAATTCGCTTCCTACTGGTTCCAGAACTTTGGGGCTGTCATGCTGCTTGGACATATCGAGAGCGCGGACGAGGTCATTGAGGGCAAGAACTGGGCTACGGAATGTTTGGGAAGCTTTTACATCAAGCCCAACTATCCCGGCCGGAGTAGCCACGTCTGCAACGCTGGGTTCCTCGTCACAGACGCAGCACGGAACAAAGGCGTGGGCCGACTCATGGGCGAGTCGTATCTCGACTGGGCCCCGCGACTAGGCTACACCTACTCCGTCTTCAACCTCGTCTACGAGACCAACGTCGCCTCATGCCGGATCTGGGATGCGTTAGGGTTCAAGCGCATCGGGCGGGTCAAGGGAGCGGGAAACCTGAAATCGTACCCGGGGCAACTCGTCGACGCGATCATCTACGGGAGAGACTTAGGGCCGGGAGGCACCGATTTCGTGAGTGAAGAACGCTTCGATAAAATCGCCTTCTATCTCCGATCCGGCAAGTATCCGGCCGGGGCTGACCGAGCGGAAAAAAGCAGGCTCCGATCCGCAGCAACGCACTATAAGCTGCTCGAGAATGATAAGCTCATGCTGAAGGACAAGGAGGTGATCTCAGATCCGCAGAAGCAGTACGAGATTGCGCGGAACGTGCACGTGCTGCAGCATGGGGGAATCAACAAGACGACGGCGACGATTGCGGAGAAATATCACTGGGTCAGGATCAAGGAGACCGTCAGTCTTGTAATTAGGAATTGTGCCGAATGCAAAGAGTTGGGCAAAGCTCCTGTCGTGCGCGCTGATGGTGCTGTTCCCCGTCGCTCGCTCGCGCCCAGTCTCTCCTCCGCCAGGCAAGGAGGCGTCAGCGCCGCTGGCCGAATCCTCAGTCTGCCCCCCCACCCCTCACAATCCTCTCCATCTCCGTCTCCCTTCCGCGGAGACCATCACCACCAACAACAAGCATCTGTCAGCCCTCAAGTCCTCAACCGCAGCCTCCCCGGCTCCAGCCAAGACCCATCGCAACTCCAGAACCAACTCCAGGTCCAGCACCACCCTTCAGCGCCCATCCCACAGATGCAAGACCACCACCCGCACCACCGCAACCTGCGCGATGACTACATGCCGCTCGACCCGCACATCATGGAAGACGTCCAGAACCACCTCGGCTCATACAACTCATCAACGCACGCGTCGGCGCACCCACACGACCACTCCCCGACCTTCACCTCGCACAACGAGCTCGACGCGCACGATCATAACGCCGCCGAGGATTCCTTCCAAGCCATGCTCGGCGGCATGGGCGCCGGCGGCGGCAGCATGGTCGGGGGCTCCGGCGACAACGAGCCGCATGTCGTGGACGGCAATGGCGACTTGGATATGCTGATTGATCAGGAAGAGGACGGGGAGGGCGAGGAGGAGGACGAGCCGCGCGACGTTCATGTGCATGAGGCGAGCGTGCTTCAGATTCGGGCGGAGGCGGCGGCGAGAGCGGCGGAGGAGGCGATGAGGAGCGGGACTAGGAGTGGCTATGGGAAGGGCTGAGGAGCGCTGAAAGGCCGGCTGGTTGATGTTGATGTTGATGTTGATATTCATGTGTTGATTCAGGAAAGAAGGAAATCAAGTAAGCAAGCAAGCTCTGGATTTTCGAGTGGAATCAGACTGCGATGGGGAATTCCGGGGTGAGAGATCCCCCGATAGCGTAGCTTTTGTGCTATGGTCAGGGATGAGGGGGTGATCAGTACCGTCTGGTTGAATGATGGCGGCTAGATCAGCGAAAGAGAGCCGCGAAGCTAAAAGGGGGGGGGCAAGACGTCCCGCCACTCCTGCAGTCAATGATTGATTGATGGACATGAAATGAAGAAGGGCCCCCACATGCGAAAAGTCATGTATTAATGATACGGGGGTAAGCAGTTCTAGCATTCATCAAATGTATATAATACTATCATACAGAGGAACTAGTACACTCTGCCCTATATCCGCGCGCGCCAGGAATCACTTCTTTCTTTAATTTTTCACAACCCTCCCGGGCTCTACCGTCTCGGCATACCTCTCCCTCTACCCCTCAACACCCTCTGCGCAGCTCCGGGCGGTAACCCTCTTTGCGGCGCCTGCGGCTGCGCACTCTCCTCGTTCTTGATCGTCTCATCAACACTCAGGATCAGACAGCTCGCCTCGGTCGCCGCCTGAATAGCATTAATCTTCACCAACGCCGGCTCCCACACAAACGCCTCCAGATTATCCGCGATACCCTCGTGCACGAAATCGACGCCGGCCCACACGTTCCCCTTCCGGTGCTCGACCCGCAGCTTGTTCAGGATGTCCGTGGCGTCGAAGCCGGCATTGTCGCAGAGCTGGCGCGGGATCACCTCGAGCGCTTTGGCGAACGATTTGATGATCGCTTGCTGCTTGTGCGGAACGTTCTTGTCCGCGTAGCGGTGCAGGTAGGCCGACACTTCCATCTCGCACGCGCCGCCACCGGCGACGATGGTGTTGTTCTTGATGGCGCGCTTGACGATCATGATTGCGTCGTGGAGCGAGCGTTCTACTTCTGCAATGAACTGCTCTGCTCCACCGCGGAGCACCAGGGTGCATGTCTTAGCCGCAGGGCAGTCTTCAAAGAAGTTAAAGCGCTCTCCACCAATTTGTCGCTCCTCGAAGAAACCGCAAGTCCCGAGGTGCTCGGGGCGGATGTCTGAGCAGGTCGATTGGATGGAACCGCCGGTTGCTTGAATGACGCGCTCAAGGTCGTCGGAGGAGACTCGTCCAGCACAGAAGATGTCTCTATCCGCAAAATACTGCGTAGCCAAATCTCCAATCGGTAACTTTGACAACACAACCTTAGCACCGGTCTTGTAAATAGCTTCCATCTTGTTGTAGATGATTTGCCATTCTGCATCGACAATGGCTTGGTATTCCGAGACTTGCTCAACGCGTACTTCAGCGTTGTCTTTCTCGGACTTGAGCTCGAGCTCAACGTTCAGGCAGACGATCTTGGGGTTCTTGAAGGATTTAGGTTGTTGTTCGAAACCGGCGTAGGAGAAGGTCTTCTTGAACGCTACACCGTTGACAAAAAGGGAGTCTGTAAGAGAGCCGCCGGGGATTTTCTTGATTCCAATGAGCTTCTCGTTGAGGTCGTCTTGGTCGAGAGACAGGACAGCGTCGACAACCACTGTATACTGTTAGCATCCATAACTTGAGAGTATTTGCATGCACACCAACTTTTTGTGAAGAAAGAGGTATTCCTCTTAATCAGCTTGCTGCTCATAGCCGTTCCAGCTAATTTGCCCAAAGTCTCCCTCTTGTTGCTGTCACTCGTATTCACAGCAATTTCCTTCACCTTATTAACCGCCATCGCAGAAGCTCTCCTCAACCCCTTGACAATAGTCTGCGAGCTAACTCCCTGCTCGACATGGTCCTTGATCTCCTTGAGAATTTCGCCAGCCAGCACGACCACAGACGTCGTCCCATCTCCCACCTCAGCATCTTGTGATCTCGCAATATCGGTCAGGATTCGCGCGGCCGGGTGTACGATATCAAGCAGCTGCATCTGTCAGAGCCGAACTGGGGAAGGAAGATATTCATCATACCTTCATAACAGTAGCACCATCATTTGTGATCGTTTGTCTGCCATTCGAATCCACAAGCAGCAAATCCCCGCCGTACGGACCCAGCGTACTTCGTATCGTCGCTTGCACAGCTATACAAGCATTGATATTACTGATGATCTGCCCCTTTCCCTGCGACGAATCCGTGCCTACATCGCATTCCTATCAGCAAGAGCTGGAGCTGTACGCTGATTTCAAAGCTCACCTTCTTTCAGCACAATGATCGTGGGGGTTTGGCCACCGAACGACATGTTGCCGACCTTGCAGAGCTATCGTACACGGGTTCTCAAGGCGACTGGATCAGTGGAGGTATGCGTCTCAAGTTCGGATGGTTGCTAGGAGGGCGGTGTGTCTTGCGCAGAGCTTCGTTTCGTCAGTCGATGCTTTTCAAAATTCTCGATTTCGCGTATACGCGTTGGGGTTCGCTTCGGCTGCCGTACAAGAGTCGCACGTGATCTGGCTTGGAAAAGGGGGATATTTACTAAGTTGATACTTTTCTCTATCAGAGAAAACTGGCGGAGTAAGCTCATATGTGAATGTAAATGAGGTTCTCTGGCGTTGAAAAGCTCACATTTTATGCGTCGATATCAGTTGAGAGTGCTCTGTAGAAGACCCCTTTTACTAGGCGGGGGCCCCTTTTAGTTTTAGCTCCCTGAAACAGGAAGAGCCAGTGTCTATATCATATAATGGGTCCTCATATGTTACATTGTGTAGAGATCGAAAAATTATATTAGGGGCTGCAATAGTGATACATCATGACCAAACACAAGGATTTCCTTCAACTCAACTCATACCGTCATACATTCCAATACAGCCTACTTTAACGGCCTTCACATATGTTATACGAATTGGTAAGATATATCACATACAAGAGGCAGAGCCAACTAATTCAAACATAATTCATTAATCTCTATGCATACAACATGAAATATGGGTACTTGATGCTATCCAGACCTTAAACGCCCAATCCAATCCCAATCCGCCAATGCATAAACCTGTACAGCAATTCCATATCCCTCACAACGCTCCTACTACGCCATTGACAACATCACTCAGCATCCGCAGCCCGTAGACACGCGCTACATTCCCATACACGCCCAAGCGCCGCTCCACTTCACTCCTCTTGATTGTCTCGCCCCAGGCGCCGCCACACGAGCAATGCTCCATGAAATCATTCACCCGGATACCCTTGCACTTGACACACTTCAGATCTTGCGTGCACCACTCCGTCACCATCCCTTCCACGTTCCCAATCAGCCGCTCCTCCAGATCAAGCCGAGGGTACTCTGCCTCGCAGAACGAACATTTCCACGCCCTCGCCTCCCCAGCTACCTTCCCATCGGGACCCAGATCGGGGATTAGATCCTCGTCACGGCAGAAATCGAGATCGCGTGCCATGGTGCAGTTCTCGCAGATAACCTGTTGCATCCTTAAGCTCTCACTCGGATTCTCGAATCGCGCTTCGTTACTGAATTCCCTGATCTCGAACATTTGAAGCAATTCCTTGCGGAGGAGACGGGCTTCAAGAGTAATGTTCTTGTCAAGGGATAAGACTTGCATGAGTGATTTGACGAGTTGGAGGGCAGGATTGCTTAATGTTAGGTGTGACCCAGGGAGGAGGGGGAAGTTGTAATCGGAAGCTAGTTCAGGATGTAGCATCTCGTCTTTTTGGCGTCTGATTAGACCGGCTATTTGACGTTTGAGGGGCTTCTCAAATTCCTTTCCTAAGGTAATCTTGTCCTCCTTGTCATCGCCAAGGGCGTGGACGGGAAGCTGAGTTGGTCGAGGCGTTGCATCAACACCACCATCACCGAGAATGCGAGGGCGTTTAAGCTTATGCATAATCTCGACAAACTCAACCACCCAATCATGGAAGATGGGTTGGAGCGGTGCAGGTAGAAACTTGCTGAGTTGCCAATGCATGACAATGTCCAGTGTTTGGTTCTCAGCCTCGACGACTTCCTGGCAAGCTTTGCCGCCATAGTTGAATTCATCATACCACACCAGGTAATCCCAATATTCCTTTATTTCGAGGTCCAGAAAGTGGAAGAGGGGCTTCGCCTTGATAGATTTTAGAATGTATTGACTGTATGCGTAGGCATTGCCGACTTCAGATTTAGTTGTTTGCAAGAGTAGTCGATTTGCATTGGCGAAGACGACCTGAGAGCCGACTCTTCGGAAATCGGTCATTAATTGCAGGAAAGCTTTTCGGGACATCATCTGTACGTAGTAGTGTAATGAGCGGTCGTACAGAAACGAATCAGGATTCTCAACCCATCGAACGAGATGTTGCACCATAATGTCTGCCATGGTACTTCCTCTGCTGGCTTCAGTCCACCAGGCCTTGACCATCTCGCGGAGGACCGTGACACCGGCGGTCGCGAAAGCATTGTCTGCATAAAGGACATTCGTCCCATCGCTTGGTGAATCATCCGTTGGTGCAGCTGGGTTGAATGAGACTGAGTCGCTTCCCTCGAGCTCATTGATAAGGGACGAGGTCAAAATGGTGTTGATTGCCAGGTTGCGGACATCAATCTCGATGCAAACGGAAGGATATGTACCGGGATTGTTAACAGACGGCATCTGCACAGTATCTAGAGGTCCAGTAATATCATCTAACTCGTAACCAGCATGATCTGGTCTTGGGCCTCCGGACCACCACAGAATCACATTGTGCTTCTGCAAGCGCCGTGCATACGCAACGTCGATCAAAAACCGAGGATCATCTCGTTCGAGATTGCAAAGCGGAACATCACCATATCTTGCCAGCTCCGTTAGATGCAAGATCCATGATCCAAGGCCGAGGTAATGATTAACCAGACGCTTTGCAACGAAAGATTGCCAGCCAAGTGGCGGGAGGTTGCTGTCCGAAATCTCATACCTCAACGGTAGAACTGGGAACTCTGCTAGAATAGGAACATCATGAGTAAGCATTCGTCGTTGCGGTGATTGAATGACGAGCATTAGTGGTTTCGATTCATCGTTTCGCATCTTCTTGACAAGATCTCCAATTTCAAGAAGAGCTTTCCGTCTTGTCGTGACTTGGCTTGTCTTGAACTGGAGCTTCTCTTGATATTGGAAACAATTCTGCCATTCCTGCCCATCAGCTTCCTGTTCTCGTTTGGCCAGCATATCACTGTAGATCTTCCCGAAATTTGGCAGGTCTGCGCTGGAGTCTTTAGATTTCTGAAGGATGACCACATGAGCTTGCTCTTTCGCCGTAGAGAATAAAGCGAAAACTTGTCGATCCCCAGCGACGACATGGTAGAGATAGAGATAAGCAATTGGCGATTGTAAAAGGTATGGCTGAGTTGTGACTGGTCGGCAAAGAGTAGAAAGATCGAATCCCGATTCAAGACCCTTGCCCAGAACACCTGGTTGTGTCTCATCAAAAGTACAGAGATTTCCTAGTTGCAATACCGCCCGGATGTTCAACGGCACCTGCTTTTCATAAACCCCCTCCACACTTGGATGATTAAACAGTAGCGATAGCTTCTCGGCGTCGTTGATATATACTTCTTCAGGCATGGTCAGCTTGAAGAGGTGCACTGAAGGATGTCCGTTTGGTAGTGTATGGTTGACTTTCTGGGCCACACAACCATCCACCTCAATATCTGGCAATTCTTTGCCCTTCAGGTTTAGGAAGATTTCCCGCGGTACGTTAACTTTCAGGGTATGTATCTTCGAGTCGATAAGAACATACGCCATGACGACTCCCGGACTGGACGTCCCTCGCAATTGGAGGACCTGCCAGGTACCTTTGAACATCATCTCTGCCTGGTTGCGGAAAGTCGCTCCAATATTGCTTTGGGCATTGGCACGGGTCTCACCGAATAAGTGTCTACGACGGATTCGGGCCTGCTTCTGGATCTTCCACTTCTGTTTCTGATAATCCAGGAAACCAAGGTAGTCTTCGGTTGGATTTGGCATCTTTTCGGGCAATGTAGCATATGGGTTCGTCGAAACAGCCACTGCAGGCTCTGGGGATTTCCTTTTCATAGGCTTCTGGGAAGCTTGAGACAGTGCAGCCCCAATGGTTTTTGGCTTCAGGATTTTGGCCCCAAAGTCTTCCATATCCGCGATTCGTGAATCATGCAGGTTGGTAATATCTTCCAGTGGAGCTTTCACAAACAAGTCGGTCATCTTCTTCTGCTTTAACTTGTCATCCTTGATGTTGATCCTGCGTTGCAGCCATTCAGGATGTGGGACCCTTGGAACAGGGTTTCGAACTTTCTGTAAGGCGGCTGGGATAGTGATAAGCTTCTGGATGACTGAGCCTAGACGTTCCAGGTAGTAATCCCAATCAAGCAGTGCTCTCGGGTCCATATTTGTAGGGTCTTCTTTCAGCCATTTTCTCAAGAAGTGTCGCTTGATTGTAGTTTCCGCAGAGAAGATAGCCACAGGAATGGCTCGCTCAGTAACAGGTGCACTCTTTGGTCGCGAGCAAATAATGTACTTGCAATTCAAGCCTTTATCTTTCACCATCTGCTCGCCCAAGAAATCAGCCAGGCGCCTTGCGGTGGTGATCGATGTCGACTTCTGTGTCCCATACTCCTCTAGAGTTTTCGACATGCTCCTGTTCTCGCAAATGAGATCGATAAGCTCCTCATCGGCCAGGGTCTCGCCCTTGGAGTGCAAAACATCCAGCCATTGATTGGCGACCTTTGCGACAGCTCCATACGTCTCTTGTAATGTTGTGCCCTCCAAGAAGAACTTGAATATCTGCTGCTGGAAGATCTTGATGAGCTTCAACTCTCCTCTTCGCTTGACTTCGAACCCCTTCAGTTCCGCTAGGCTTCCATCCTCATTGAACACCGCGTACCGCTTCTTCAAGTTCTTGTCTTCTTCCTTGGAGGTTGGCAGGATCATAGCCCGGTATGGACCGTCGACTTCGAAGAAGATGGAATTGTCGCTGTGGGTCTCATATTTGAAGGTTTTTGGATCGACAAGAGTCTGATACTGGTGATTTGTGAATTTGTCGTGGACGAGGTGATTCAGCATAACACAGGGGTAAGAGATAGTCAGCTTTTTGCCGTTCTTGAGCGTGAAGGCATGGTTCTCGGGGAATGTTGCAGGAAGCATACACCAGATACCATCGGTATCGAGTTCCAGGGGCCTACCAATTCTCTCTACCAGCTGTCGGGCCATTTGAATGATATGCGCACCAGTCAAACAGGTGACACCAGCCATCTCCATAGAATACCAACGAGACCCCTTCCTCATCACATAACCATAGAATGAGTTGAGAATGACTTTGTGCGCCAGTTGCAAAGAATCGAAAAGCACAATCATTTTCTTTCCGTTCTCGATCTCTGCCGCGGGAGCGCCGGAGGCTTTCAGCGCTTCTGTCTTGCCTTTCCATACCTTTTGCTTCCCTTTGTAATCGTATCGTCGATCACGGAAAGCTCTAACGGTATCGATATAAAACGGGTTCTCTCGCTGGCAGATAATGGCTTCTCTCTCAATCGTTTTCGAATCATGGATCTTATGGTAGATTTTCTGACTGTAGATTTGCAATCTTTTCCGAATAAGGGAAGCCCGCTCATCTTCGCTCAGGTCCTGCCATGTGCGAGGGGGGCTATTTGGGTATTTGCCCGGGAACCGCTCATTCTCAAGGGAACTTCTGATCATGTTGTACTCATCTCGTTTCGCAGGAAGATATTCCCCTCTCCACGCCCACGGCATCCTTCGATCGCAGGTCTTTCCAGGTCTGTTGAAATCGCATGCAGCACAATCCGATTCCTGAATCATAGAGTCAGGCTGCAGTCGATTTGTGGTCATGATGTTTGGGTACATGGAGGCGACATCCAGATGGTAGATCAGAGGTCGCTCACTTCGATTAGCCGTTGCTTTCAAACTGTTCAACCGGTCCGCGATCTGCTGCTTGACTTCATCATAGTTCGTGATATCGTCAAGTGACTTCTTTTCTTCAACCGTGATACTGAATTTTAAAGCAGCATCCAGATCCTTGAGAAGTTCATCAATGGCTGTGGTGTCAACAGCAAAGTTGACAGGAATATCGCTACGGAAGACACCAGCTTCGATACTTTCAACATGGCCACCAACGTAAGTTTCCGACTCCAAGAGATGGCCTTCCCAGAAAGATTCTTTGGGTTGGACGTGCTTATTCGGTAAAACGATTTCCTTCTGATAGGCTTGCACCATGAGCAACATTTCGCAGAGGGTTCCAGTTCCCTTTCGCAAAACAGCATCTGGTCCGAGAGGAATAATCGTACACAGCGAAAAGATAAAGGGGTGTACATATTTCATGTACAGATAATAGGTAGCCACAGCATCGGAAACGGAATACTCAGCGAGAGTCTGCGGTCGTTCGCTGGCATACCGCAGCATGACTTCCGGGTCCAGTTCGTCAGGGTCGTATCCAAGCTTTGCAGTAGTCACGGCCTTCAGACCTCTACTCCCCTGTGGCAGATAACTGTCTCGATTGACCCAGTGAAAGCAGTCCATATGAGCACTGTAATCGCAGCAATACTGGTCATCAGTTCCTTTTCGCCATCCAATTTCCTGATACATATCGATTCCATTGACACTTGCTCGAGCATCCACAAATGGCCAATCGAAAAAGTCTCCGTTGTAAGTCGCTATCACCGTAGGCCGAGCTTCCTTGATATGAAGAAAGAATCGTTCAATAACAGCTTTCTCGTCTGGTTCGTTGAAAATCATAAACGGCCCTTCGTATTCAGGTTTCGGCGTATATTCGAAATCCTCAATATCCTCCGAGACAATCTCCCGATTCGTGATTAAAAACCCCTGGCCATCGATCATGTACGATATCATCATGATCTGATCGATAGCCGGATCAGGAAATTTCAAGGGTAATTTCGTGGTCTCGATATCGTATGCCATGACCACAGGGTCTGCTCTCTGCAAACGTTCTTCTATGCATTTCATCGTCGTAACACCATGTTTTGCCTCCACAGTATACCATTTCCCAGTCCGTATATCTGCTACCGTCAGTCAAGTATTGAAATCATGCAAGACTGACCCACCTAGATCTATCATTACCCGTACATGATATGGTACGTCCCATTCCCTAATATCTACAATGAAATCACTCGCATCAGCAACAGAAGTATTAAGTCGTCTCTCATCATCTCGTTCGTCATCAAAAAGGTCAAAGCCAGCGTTTGCACTGCAGTCCATTAGCTCCAGTCCCAAAATTGCGATCTGAACTCCCGACAAAACAACGTACCTGGCAACCTCAGCATAAGTATCCATGGCATTCATGTTCTTCCTATTCCTCTCGGCAATAGGCATGATATCCCGTCTCGCCGCCAACAAATCCCCAACATTTGCAAATCTCAACTCAAAGAATGTCCGCCTATACCCAAGAAGATGATTCGGCATCTGCAGATCCTCCTTTTCAACCTTTCTTAAGCTCTTGACGACCCCTCCTCCAGGAGCGCGCTTCAACCATTCTTCCGCTTCTGACTCGTGGCCCCTTTTCACCGCGACCAGGAAGTACGGATCATATTCCAGCGTCGCCTTGAACGTGCTCCCATCCTCCTCAATGAAGTAACAATCCAGACCCGCCCTCCCCTCTGGGATTTTTTCATCTTCGATACTGGTGCTTTGGATATTGACCAGCCAGCCCACGCGTTTCTTTCCAGACTCGTAACGCGCGAATCCCTGTGCTTCATCGATACTATGTGCCAGTCGCACCGCCTCGCGTTTCTCGTCTGCTGATGTCGCCTCTGCGCCAGACTTCGCCGCGAAGGTCTTTGCTTTTCGAGGTCCATGGTACGCTTGTTTCCCGCCGCGGCGGTAGCCATTCTGTGGTGCCCGTCGAGGGGCCGGCATCGTGGGTTGGTTCAAGAGGCTCGATGCGATTGGGGCGGATGAGAGGGAGGAGAGGCAAGTCTAGTTAAAGAATTGCTTCGTAATTGACAATCGCTGGGCGTCAGGAGAGGAGGAATTAGAAGGTCGTGAGTCTCGCTCAATCATCGGATATGGTTTTGGGTATTATGGCGCGCTTAAGATACCGCGTACGCGACGCGTTTTTCTGGGAAGCGATATTAAAGTGGCTTTGCTGATCTCATGATAACGTGATCGGGGAGATATCAGACAAAGCTAACTTGACTACTTAGCAGCTGTCTATATGTCATGAAGGTCTAATAAGATTTGGATGGAAACAGGAAAGGTTATACCTATCTTGAGCATTTATCACGTGATAAATATGATTAGAGTTGAGGGAGGTATCTAACGCCCACTTTACAGCCAGGTCATGGTGCTAGCAAGGGAAGATATAGGAGGAGGCAGTTACAGAGGGTTTTGAGGTGTTTTTACCCGGAACCCATGAGAATGGTTCAGATATCCGCCGGCTTGTCAACTGCAAGGCTGAAATCAAATACCAGAATGCCTGGCAAGGTATTCAGGGAACATTAACCACTGACCTCTCCAGAAAGTTCAATTGAGTATAAGAGAGTCATGATTCATAGAAAAAAGTAAAAGTTAAAAGTTGCCAGAGGTCCAAGTAGTGACTGGAATCCAAGCCTTGAGCTGTTTCTACTCCAGCCTCAGCCTTGTAGCACAAGGCTGCACACACTCCGGCGCCCCACAACGCCAGGATCTGCCGATCGATCAACCTCACCTCTCTTCATCTTCGCCAACAGCCTTCCCTCTCCGCCTGCACAGTTCCTATTTCCCACCACAAACCATCCCCAATGGCTGGCGACACTCGAGAATCCTCTCCTCCACCCACCCCCCGGGGTCCCCCACCCGGGAGCACCACCGTGCCCGAGCACGTCCAGACACCGAACAAAGTCTACGAAGTTTTCCACTCGCCCCCGGAATCTGCGAACGCGCTGCCCGCTGGCTCCGGCCAGAACACCGCTGGTGCCCACGAGCCCCCGCCTACCCTGGCAGAGGCCATCAAGACCGTCAGGCTTCAGGATTTCAAACAGGTTCATATGTATCCTTGCGTGCGGGAGTCGCTGCTCATGGGTATTGGAGGCGGGTTTGGACTCGGCGGCGTGCGGGCTTTGTTTGGTGGTGTGTATCCCTTCTCCACTTATACAATCAGAAATGGCTGGCGAGAGCTCAAATAGCTAATCCGGTATTACAATAGCTCCAATCCCTAAAGCGGCAAACTGGGCGGTAGGCACATTCGTCTTTGCCTCTTGGGCCAATTACGAGTACTGCATGTACAAGAGACAGCTGGAGAAGGCGACGATGAAGCGCGCGGTCGAGATTATTGATCGTAAGAAGGCGGAGAAAGAGGAGGCGGCTAGAATCAAGAGGGAGGAGAGGCGGAGGGCTAAAGAGGAGGCTGATAGATTGGAGGAGGAGCAGAGGAAGAAGTCGAAGTGGAGCTGGAAGTTCTGGTGACAGGGGAGATGCTACAATAAAAGTGACGTGTATTAAATTATGGTATCTGTATTCAAAAATAAGGGACGGCTTGAGGAAATTGTTTGATTAGGTTCCGAACCAGGGGAATATCCTATAACAACCCCGAACTCCTTCGCTATGCAGAGCAAAAGCAGCTCCGCTCTAATACAATCCATCCATCCATATTGCAATCTGATTCCCAAATCCAAATGTCCCTTGAAACTCCGGTAGACCCAAGTCAAGTCGTAGCCAAATCGTCAACTCGTCGGAATAATGCTTTCCGTCATACCCTCCAAAAATCTCACCCTCCTCGCGGTCTCCGCTTCGACCTTACTACTCTCCTTACTAACTTCACCCCTCCTCCTCTCACTTCTCTTGGCCCTGGCCTCCCTCGCCTCTCGACTCCGATACTCCGCCATTTGTAGTCTCCTCTTCTCTGATCTCGCATATGCTATGGCCGGTGTTGGCTTAAAGCCAATCCCATTGATGCCTTCCCCGTCATCATCAGGATCATCTGGATTATGGCCAGTGATCTCATCATCATGCCATGTCAATGCCGCTCTGTCGAGATCCACATTCCTTTCTCCCCCATCCGCAGTTTCTGTTTCCAATGATGCATCTCTGGAGCCAAGTAATGGCGGAGTACCCATCCTTTTTCTTGACGCACGAGACTTAGAATCCGCAAGACAGTTGATGCTCGGATACGCCCGCGCCAATCCCCCTTTCCGTTTCCCAATACTCGACCCCTTAAAAATCATAGGATCAACCTCGTTCCTCAACGCCAAGGAGCATCCCTTCTCCGAGACCGTCGAATCTGAGTTCCTCTCCGACCCACTCACGGTTCCAAAGCTCTGATGCTGAGGCGTCTCTGGTATTTCCCTCCCCCTCCCTGAAGCTATATCACTCTCTTTGTCTCCGAAGACTTTGACCCGCTTTCTTACCGCGCTCTCCTCTTGCATTCCTTCATTGCGCGGTCCAAGTCTGGGGAAATTGGAGCGCTGGAGGTCGAGTTTCGACACCCTATCATCTTCCAGTTGCAGGCCTTGGAAAGTGTACGCCACTTTCGTGCGCGGGCTTCCTGTTTCGGAATCAGCCGAGGAGGCTACGGTGATATTGCTAGGGAGCTTGGTGTTAAGACGCATTTCGGGGCAGGAAGCCGGAGGTGTGGGCGGTATATCATCACGTTTTCGTTTCGGCGTAGAGGAAACGGATTGTTGAGACGAAGGTGGAGGTGGCGAAGGGGAGGAAGTTGATGGGGAAGAGAGAACTGGTGGCATCGCTAGGGACGATGCAGCATTCGATGCTCTGTTTATCAGATTGCAAGGTGAGGAGGTCGGATTCTTAGAGCCGTCCGCGCGTCCTCAGTACGATAATAGGACTGCAACGGTACGACGATTCCTGACGATGATAACGGAAGCATGTAATGCTGTTAATGATATTCTTGAAGCGAAAATAAAAGTAATAAGTGGTGGTAGTATGATTGTGGTTTGAGCAATAGTTGGAGCGATTGGAACCGGTCCAGGACGGTGAAGGCGGGGAATGCTGGTGGGGTGCCAGTCAAGCAAATCGCCGACAACGGTTTAGCTTCTGGTCCCGTGATCCTTGTCTACGAGTACATCCATCTCTTCACCTTCTCTCGTCTTTACCCTTGACATATCTTCAAGTGAAGTCCCGCCCCCTTTCTACACGCTCTAGGTCTATGTCCTTTTAAATCACATGAATAAAAAGGTGGGGATGGAACCGGCTCGCATCTTGATCCTGCAACCCCATTATGTACTAATCGTGGGTCTTCCGACTCTCTCTTACAGAGACTGCGTTCTTTGCGTTCTTTCAATTGGCCGTTTTTCTTTTTTTCCCTTTTATTTTCCTTTTGGTTATTTTCTGTGAGAAAGTGTTGGAAGACCCATGGCTATTCCATCTGCTCTTCCCTCGCTCTACGTGTCGGCGAAAGTAACACGGGAATCTTGCAAGTCACTTTATAGGGCTGGCTGCTTCAACTTATGGTGATGGGGCGTTCTCGTTCTACACTGAACTGGAAGATTGTTCCCTCATAATATACCAATATCAAGATCTGATACGCGAAATCTTTCATTCGGTGCGTGGTTAAAAGGCTCATTTACCCTGCGCCGGCTTATGCTCAAGTCCAATATCATACTGAAGTATACTGTATATTGGGGTACATGTCAGCGAAGTACCGTCCATCATAAGATCTAAATTCATCACTCCCGGTCTTCCGAAGTGAAGAGAATGAAGAAACAGAATACAGGTGATGTCACACCATGCAACGGGCAGACCCCTATTCCGCAAAACTCTTAATCCTAATTTGACCGAAGAGTTGCGATTTGCAACGAACTTGTCAGCCGCTTCGTTCAAGTGTGGGGAAGCTGGCATTCCATTGGCATTTGACTTTCACTGGTTCGGCACCGATATGTTAAGACGGGACCCTCTTACTTAGTTGCGGGGTAATAATGCGGAGCCGTGGCGGACCAGGAGCCGGTGGTTCGCTAGGCTAGATCTCCCCCCTGACTTGAGAGCAATGGCAGGGAGCTCGCTCACTGCATTGCGGATAAGCTCCTGAGAGCAGCCAGGAAATCAGCTTCGACTTCTTGCTTTGCGGATCCGCCTTGGTCGCTCGAAGGGAACCTCTCTTTTGGGACCCGATCAGTTGTAATGCATTCCATTGTGCAAGCTGCGGTGTGAATGGCACCACCTTCCTTTACTAAAAATTGAGAGTCGGGGAGCTATATAAGAAAGGTATCCTCCATGTCTTTTCAGTCTACAAAGCTTCTCTTCAGCCATATCATCGTCTCTATCACAGCCTCCCTCAAACTTCATTGCTACCTTCAGATATTGAACACATAGTGCTCAGCAATCATGGTCAAACTAACTTCGGAACTCAAAGAGTACGCTCGTCGACGAGCAACGACGGGTCGTTACGCTGACAACCTCGAGGTAGACGTCCTTATTGTTGGGTACGTAGATTCCGGCAAGAGCTTTAGATTCCCGCATTCTTCCACCCATCGAAATGATACCTTCCGGAAGTTTGGATCATTGATTCATTGTATATGTGCTGATACATTTTGAAATTATAGTGCCGGATTTGGCGGAGTGTATCTGCTTTACGAGCTTCGAAAGCGTGGCCTTAATGCTGCCATATACGAAGCAGGAACTGATCTTGGCGGAACGTAAGATGGCCTGTCTCATATATCTTCTCCACGATACATATTTCATGTCCTGACAATCCTAGCTGGCGCTGGAACCGTTACCCCGGAGCTAGGGTGGATTCCGAAGTGCCGGAATACGAACTGAGCATTCCCGAAGTCTACAAGGATTGGACTTGGTCAACAAACTACCCCAACTATCAAGAGCTTCGCGCTTACTTCGACCATGTGGATGCTGTGCTTGACATCAAGAAGGACTGCGCCTTTGAGAGCGTCGTAGTCGATGCACAGTTCCATGAAGACGAGGGAAAATGGCACACAAAGACCGAGGATGGCCGCACTGCCAAGAGCAAATACCTCATTGTTGCGGCAGGCTTCGCAGCCAAGCGCTACATCCCCGACTACAAGGGTTTGGAAACCTTTGAAGGCATCATGCATCACTCCTCTTTCTGGCCAGAAGAGGGGGTCGATGTCAAAGGGAAACGGTGCGCCGTCATTGGCACTGGCGCATCAGGCGTGCAGATTTCACAGGAATGGGCCCCTGAAGTCGGGTCACTGAAAGTCTTTCAACGCACACCCAACCTCGCTGTTCCCATGGGCAAACGGCCCCTGTCTGTTGAAGAGCAGCAGAATTCCAAGCAATGGTGAGCTTTGGACTTCTCTCAAAGCATCTTCGTCTTTGAAGACATCAAAGTTTTCCAGCTGACTAGTGTAGGTATCATCGACTATTTGAGCTCCGTGAGCATTGCTTCGGGGGTTTCCTGTTCACGTGGTCCGAAAAAAATACCTTTGACGACAACGCGGAGGAGCGAGAGAAGTATTACAGGAGTCTTTGGGACCATGGCGGATTCAGGTTCTGGTTGGGTAACTACAAAGATATGCTTTTTGACGAGAAAGCCAACCGTGAGGCATACAACTTCTGGGTCAGCCAAGTTTACCTTCTCTTAAATACTTACTCCTGCTTGGTCTTGTGGTTGATGCTCAATCTAGGCCAAAAATACTCGTAACCGCATCGGGGATGCTCGTTTGAGAGATCTCCTTGCTCCTCTAGAGCCTCCACACCCCTTCGGTGTCAAACGCCCCTGTCTAGAGCAGAACTACTACGAGCAGTTCAACCGTCCCAATGTAGATATTGTGGATATCGGCGCCAACCCCATTGAGGAGTTCACTCCAAAGGGTATCAAGACCAAAGACGGCACCGTCCACGAGTTCGATGTCATCGCCATTGCTACCGGCTTCGACATCACCACCGGTGGTATGACGAACATGGGCCTGCGCAGTATCCACGGCACGACTCTCAAGGATGAGTGGAAGAGTGCTGCGAACACGTACCTTGGAACCACTGTGTCCGGGTATCCAAACATGTAAGTTCCAAAAACCATCACATCACATTCCTATCTCCCAACCATCCCACCATCCTGACTTCCTCCCCAGGTTCCACCTCTACGGGCCCCACGGGCCGACGCTCCTCTCCAACGGGCCCGCATCAGTCGAAGTGCAAGGCCGGTGGATCGTCGACGCGATCCAGAAAGCCGAGCGCGAGAACATCAAATACATCGACCCGACGCCCGAGGCTACCAAGGAGTGGAAAGACCGCATCAATTACCTGAGCAATATCAGTCTCTTCCCAACCACCAAGTCTACGTACATGGGTGGTAGTCTCCCAGGGAAGGCCTTCGAACAGGTTAATTACGCGGGCGGTATCCCGGCTTACGTCGTTGAGATTCGTGAGAAGCTTCCTGGTTGGAAGGGCTTCAGGGTCGTTAAATAGGTGCCTTGATGATGATGCACGATTACAAGTTGGGCGCATCAGTTGATCGATCGATGGGCTTTTGTGGGAGACATGTGTGAATCCCCTGGAATGATATGGTTGAAGGGGGGGTAACTAACATATCATATAACTGTCCTTACCGTGATAACGCGAAATATGAACTACTACTTCTTGATTTCACGCTCCTGCTCCCCATCATTTTCTGTTCCTTTTTCGGGTACCTTCAGAAGTTATATACCTAGGTATATAGCTATCCCTCTTTTCACTTCACTCATATCAATCCCTCCCCCCCCCAATGTGTTAACCCCTACAGAAAAAAACTTAAGGCCACCATTTCCAAAGAAAGGTATTAATTGTCATTATACATCCAAGTTTCCAAAAAAAAAAAAAAGGCAGAAAGTCAGCTTGTACACTAATCGATATTTATTATTTGATCTTACTATCTCATTTTCACCGGGTAGAAAGAAGTTTCATATGATATAATAAAGATAATATTTTTGCAAGAAAAGGCCCCTAACAAATATACAAATATACACCTCTCGATTTTCGCTCCGCTCCCGATAAACCTTCCGATAGATAGATAGCCTTCAAGTAATACAAAAACACCGCAGATTTTATCCAACCCCCCATCCTCCTACCCATTTCCCCCGGTTTTCAGTAACGTGCACTACGTTCCCAGCCCGCTATGTACGATCTCTCGTCCTATCACTAAGAGCGCGCGACAAAGCTGTAGCTGCCAAGAACGCCATATCCGATTTCTTCCCTAGCACCCACAGCGCCTCAATACAAAATCCACACTTCCTCTTCGCTTCCTCCCTCTCACTCCCCACCGCGACCATACCATCCTCCGCAACTCCATCCACCGAATGTAAGAAGAGACTCCCCGCCTTGCTAAACGCGCGGATCAAAACGACGGTCCACGGCTCCGTCAACAGCGCCCCCTTGTTCACCGCGAAATGGAACTCCTCGCCGCGCGGGAACGACGCCTCGGGGCGCGGACTCGCGCACCGCCCCAGCTCCGCCACCGCGTCGGCGTTCTGTCTCCGTAGGCACGCTACCTGCTTCGATGCCTGCCGAAACTCATATGAAGGCGACAGGCCGAGACAAGCCGCGTCGATGGCTTCGATGGTGTCGGCCAGTAGCATGCCGGCGAGGTGCCAGTGGCCGGCGAGCACGACGTACCAGGATTGGATGCGTGGCGGGAGGGAGTCGTGGTGTGCGGTGCAGTCGTGGATGAAGGGCCCGTAGGTCATGTTCCAGTATTGGTAGACTTCGAGGGCGCGGGTGATGGCGGCTTCGAGTTTGGAGGGGCTGGAGCGTCGAGAGAGGAGGGTTTGGAGGTTCGTTATGCGTCGGAAGAGGAGGACTTTGATGGGGGCAGCGTCGCAGAGTGTGGAGGCTGCGTCTTCGTAGGAACAGGGCCAGCGGGTTATGTGGTGGTTGTACTTTACGGCTTTTTCCTGTAGGAAGAATTGGCCCCATAGGTTAGAGTCGCTATCTTTGGGAAACCGGGAGCTGTGAGGTGTAGGTTCACTGCTGAGGAAATCCGTGTGAAGAGCGGGCGAGGGGGAGGAATCCCTGTTTGGGTTGTAGAGGATATCACTGTCTTCGTCGGAGACAACTAGTGGACGTTTGTTCATTACAGAGGAGAGAGTATCGAACATGATCCCAAGCCAGAAGAGGAGATTGAACGTCTTTCGATCTGCGGCACAGAGCGGATCTGTCCTGGTGTAGTTGAAGCCTTGTGATGTAGACTTGCTGATCCGTGTTGCCCTCTGTCTTTCCAAAGCTTCCAGCTTGCAACGCCATGAGAAGAGCTGTCTGAGTGCAGTCTCGAGGAACAAAGGTGGCCCTTCGACATCGATTACCTTATCCAACTCGTCCTGTTTGGACTCTTTCATCTCGCAGAAAGAGCTATGAATGGATGATGTTGAAGAGTGGCCTGAAAAGCCCTGTGAATTGAAGCTGCTGGTATGTAAGGGGGCGGATGTGCTAGTATTCCTCAACCCCATCTCTCGGAAATGCTGATCAATGTCCAAGGGCCGCTGGGTGAGCGAGAATATAATATGAGCAAAGATCACACGGAAAGACTCAATTCCCTGGCTTTCAAGTAATGCTTGCCGTGCTTGGTACCAGAAGGTTTCCTGGATCGAACGATCAAACTCGAGTGGTGCAGGTGAGGAATTACCTGGAGGAATTCCTGCTGTATTATCAAATGCAGACCTGGTGTTTGGTGGAGGCAAGGTAGACTGATTGGAAGCTTCCTGTTCCATGAATGACGAGTACTCCATTGTACTTCTTTGGCTGGATTGAGCCCACTGTGTTGCAAAAGACATAATAGCAAGATGTAAGACTCGAGATGCATCGCGCTCTTCTGACTTTGTGAGAGGCCTGTTTCGCACGAACGAAGCGTTGCGGTCTAATCGGCACACACGTTCGCAGATCCTATTTGACCAATTTGATCCCCATTCATGGGCCATCGATTCTGGACAGCCAGATCCTGGATGCAGAGTAGGAGTGGCAATACTGTAGGGACAGGTCTTCTCGGTAAGCCAACAAGAGAACGCATTCTCCATGCTGTCGTGATAGATCCGCATGAGCCCTCTGGCCACCTGAGAGGTGCAGGAAGATGAAGCTAGACGTTGTTGAATGCTGTCAGGGGATGGATCGTTCATAAAGTTAAAGCTGTATTTGCTTCGAGAGCCCTCTTGTTGGTAGGTACGTCGTTGGCACGGAATGTATGGTGGAGATAGTGTGCCTGTTTTATGACACTGTGAGTTGGAAGAGCTGTGTCGACGAACACCTGAGATCTTGCGGCTCCTTTTTGTAGGTGGTGGGCTCTCTTTGTCGTTGGAGTCGGGAGTGCCAGATGGCGGTTCGAGTATTGACGGGAGTGAATTTTGCGCCCCCTCCATACCACCACTATATTCATAGAGCCCAGGCAAATTGTAACCATTTGTGACATCAGATAGCATCGAAAGGCTGTCAAACTCATTCGACTGAGAACTGTCATCAATCACTGTCTGTGGATGATAGCTGTTCTCTAATCCAAATGACAGGGCAGACTGGTCCGGGACATCGGATGGAACAGGAAAGACATCCTCAACTCCCAAGAGCGAGAAGGACACAAATTCATCCAAATTATTGTAGGGCTGGGATGAATCCGGAACACCAGAACCTTGGAGTATAGCATTTTCTTTCGGAACGTCACCCATAGCCTTGTGCTCCCCGCGAGATATGTCTGACTCTGTAGTTCGTCGTTTCTGGCGCCGCAACAAGACCTCTTTCATGGGACGAAGCCATTCGAATGTGCACTCTCTATCCGCTCTGGCACAGTTCGAGCAAGGACCGACAGGAATGACGCTCTCGCGATGTTGTGCTGAGGAGAACTAAGCAACGAACTTTGGACCCACGCCGAAAATTCATCGTCATACGTACCTGTATCCTGATTGCCTACAGAGTTGTGTGAGCCGTCCAATTCCCATGACTTCCAGCTGGAGGAAATCGAGCTCGATGGCGACAAAGCGGTTTCCAGGTCATTGTGGTCGAGGAGCGCAGCGTCGCAAGCGCGTTTGCCCTTCCGACACTGATCGCAGCTGCGGTTCTGACGACGTCCGGTCTTGGAATAATTCCTTTTTTCCTGCCTCGGCTGTGGATTCTGTGGAGCTGGAGCGGGTTGGATGGCTGGATATGTCATTGCGACTCGTGAAGCAGAGTCCATGTATATATAGCTGTTCGGGGGGAACTCAGGAAGCGTGATGGCCCATGATTAAGTAGGACAGGTGGTCGAGAGAGCTGTGCCACCGATGATTGCGGGGAAAAGCAGCTTTGCGGGGAAGCCGTGTGTGGCTGATCGGCCTAACCTGTGTGGGGTAAGCGTGGTCCCATATCATTGGTCGCTGGTTCATGCTTATACTAGGCAACGAGTAAGCACAGTTTACGGACAAAGGGCTAGGTAAAGGAAGTGAATCGCTCACTTTGAGTTGATAATTTAGTGGTAATAGTGTTTTACAAGCAAGGAGGATCAAATGTTTATCCGTTCATCGTAGTAGTCAATGAATTCATTAAACAATTAATAATTAATTAATTATTCTTATACTTATACTAGGCAACGAGTAAGCACAGTTTACAGACAAAGGGCTAGGTAAAGGAAAGTGAATCGCTTACTTTAAGTTAGTAATACAGTGCTAATAGTGTTTCACAAGCAAGGAGGATCAAATGTTCATCCGTTCGTCGTGGCAGTCAATGAATTCATCAAACAATCAATAAATTATTCCTGTCTGAGCTGTCCTCCCACCCCCAAAAGACCCCCTACACGAGAATGCCGGACTATCAAAGGGCGAGGATAAAAATAAGTGTATAGAGTAGTGCCAAGCCGTAGGCATTGGCAAGCTATTTGAATATTCCTGTCTGAGGCTCTGAGATGTCTCCTCCCACCCCCAAAAGACCCCCTACAGGAAAATGGCGGGCAAGCGAAAGGCGAGGATAAGTGCGATAATAAAAATAACGGTATACAGTAATCCCAATCCGTATGCGTTAATGATCTATTTAAATAGTTAGAACTACTCGTAACACAAATAGAATGATTCAGAGTACGGCTGGTAAAGGCTTCCAAGGTTCTAGGAGGGGGGATACAAAAGATAACGTACGTCGGAAGGATGAATCTGATGATAAGCAGCTTGGTACTGCTCAGGGGGGCGCTGACATGCGCGAGCTGTAGTAGAACAGGGGATCAGCAATCGCTTAATTCGATCTAACAAATGAAAACTAAGGTAGTGAGCGCTTAGAGGGGGGATACAGAAGATAACGTACATTGGTAAGATTCTGAAGATACAATAAATATACAGCTTGCCGCTGCTCGACGGCGGGGGGGACAGTGGCGACAGGGGCGACGGGGGCCGCCGGGGCCAGCTCCAGCTGTAGTAGAACAGGGGATCAGCAATCGCTCAATTCATGTGAACGATTCTGCTCTAAGGACAGCTTACCTGGTCCTCGGCCAGCGGGCAAGGAGTCTGGGGGGACCGGGAAGCCACAAACTGGTTTTTGCGGCGAGCGCCGCCGCGCATTAAGCCAAACTAGAAGAGATGACGGTCAGCTAGGAGCATAGGAATCTAGGAGACTAGGACTGGCCAGCTAAGTAGGAGATATAACATATAAGAGCGTTATCGTATCTAACAGACTACTTCTACCCGGGTATAGGCGTCTCTTACTTTTGGGCAGGGCCCAGTTTGCCCGATAGGCGTTTGGTAATTAATCAAGCTCGACCCGGTCGGTCGCTCAGGGACGGGGGAGGATGGCAGTTCTTGTTCCTAAACACTATGTTAGCATTGAATTGCTAAAAGGAACTAAAGGATTGTAGTAAAACTTACTATCGTGGCCCGTGGGATTTGATTAGGTGTGGAATTTGTGGTTACTACAAATATATTAGCAAGTGAATCTTGATGAGCGACTGATGAATAATTGCTTAGAATTAATAGAAACGTGTTGTGAAGACGGATGAGGACGACCTGCGGATAAACAAGAAGAGAAGATAAGAGAAGAGAAGAGAAGCAGACAGGCATGGCGATAGTTTGTAGTTACTATAAATGTATCAGTTATTAATCGAGCATGAGCGATTGTCAATAGATGGTTAGAAGAGAATAAAGGATTGATGGGCACATGGAAGACTAACCAAAATCTGAAGTCGTTGTTGAGGTTCTATAAATATGTGAGCGATTGAACGATGATTGATAATTAATGAGAATAGATAAACCATTAATGGAGGATGGATGGTTGATGGAAGAGGGTTGAGGATACACATCTAGGAATGCGACACTTACGTTGCGAGATTTGAATTAGGATTTTCGATTGAAAAAGAAAGAAGCTGGATAAATATAAATATATTAGCAAGTGAATCTCGATGAGCGAGCGGATCAGGTACCAAGTACGTCGGGTTGTCAGCATCCATCTCCACAACACTTTTCCATCAATTATGAGCGATGGTGAGAGTTCTGGGACTGGTCGAGACTCTGGCCGCTGTGACATTGGCGGGCGGGCTTTTGCTGAGAAACGGGTGGGATGGGGGCTTCAGTGGACCGTGGTGATGGTCTTGGTATGGGCGTCCGCGTCGTGGCGCCAGGACGCTCGAGTAAGGAATGGGAATGAATGGTATGGGGTACCGGGATTTGAATGGAATCTGCGTTGACCGTCATGGTATTGCTACCATTGTTATGAGATTTGTGTAGTGGTGGAAGGATGGTGGAAAGAAGGTGAAGTTATTCTGCTCTGCTACGTCTATTTAAAGGGCCTAGTAGCGGCAGCTTCCGTGACACCTCCTTCTTCCCGTGACACGCCTCTTCGCTCTCGTCTCTGGCCCTCCGTTCCTCCCCGAGCAGCTCTACTACTCAGTCTACTCTTTCCTTTTCCTCCTACGCCTGTCGCCGTAAGTCCTCCGGAATCTCAACATCTTGCGTGGCTTCCTCAAAGGTCCTGAGGCTTTAAGCAGATTGGTGCTACTGTAGTGCTGGCAACGGGCCGTAAAGAGATAGGGACCCGACCGCTCAGGGCGGGATTGTGTGCGAGCACTGCTTTCCCTAGTAGCGGATTGAATAATGATCGAATAATGATAGCAGGAACGAAGCCCGTCTATATGTCTCTCTTTAATCCCTAAAATTGATCGAATGATTGATGATCCTAATTAGCTTCTACTACAATTGTCTTGATCTAGTCACATACAAAGGCCTTTAATCGTCCATTGTTTCCTCGCATCCTGGTGCTAAACGATTAAAGCCAGTACAATTCCAACCCTTTACTTAATCTGACCGTTTGGACGCGTCAACGAACCGGATGCCCTGTCTTCGGATCCTCAAATCCTTCCTCGAATTGAATGGCAACCACCCAAAAGCCAAAATATTGACTCCATCGTCTATCGCTACTCGTTTCATTGACTACTAAAGCCGTTGAACGACTGAAACACCTCGGGACTTGGCTCTCTAGTATCAAAGATTCCAATTGCCCGATCATTATCCTAATGTTCATCTATCCGTGCCAAATATGACGACGGTGCTGGTGCTAGCGTAGATGACGGCGAGAGGCTAGAGCTTTGAGAACCTCCATGGTGTTGAAAGCCAATATCTGATGTGGGGTATGAGGACGAGAAGCTGGAGGACTGGCGAGTCTGGCGTTTGGCAAGCTGGGAGCGGTTTCTGGATATTGAGATCTGAGACGAATTGTAGTTAGCATTGTGGTGGAAAATGTTAGGGGAATAACGTAGCAAAGGAGTAGACAGCATAACACTCCGACACTCTCTTGAAGTGACTGACAGATTTGAGAGCTTCGAGGATAGGAAGGTATCCATATTCCTGAATATAGAGGGCTTCGAAGTTCGAGCCATGGAGCAGAGAGGTAATGGAACAGATCAGAAACCTGATGCCGCAATGGCGAGTGCTGTACCATTCTAGCATCGAGTATAGAGTGTGTTGACAGTGTTGTATGCGCGTGCGAAGAGATTTGTTCGTGAACCCATCCGTTGTCAAGGCTTCCTCGACCTAGACTGAAGGCTTCATGCCACGCTTCGAGTCGTAGGTCGGCATTGATCTGGAAACTGCCACAATAGTGAGGACAGGACGTCGAGAGATTGGGCATCTAGTGTCAAGCGTTCTACTTGTTTGCAGACTAAGAGGCTACCTAGGAAGAGTATTCGCGAGTTAGCGACAGTGACACGTTCGAGCTGGGGAACCCTAGAGATCTGCTGTGAGAATAATGACGTTACATCAGGGTTGCTGATAATAGTTTAATGATTGTGATACCTGTTGTGAGCGATGAAAAGTGAAGGTGATGCCGCGTGGCCCGGTGGCCGTATGTAATGTTTTCTAGACTGCAGCCTTGTGCGAGATGCCCTCAACCCAACAACACGCATCAAAAGTCCGTTAGGCATGGCTTTCCCAGGGTTCCCATGTTATGGTGAAGAGGTTTCTACAGACGCTGTCGATTTGCAAGGAGACTCGATGTAGCTCGTGAGTTGTTGACAAGAATTCCAGGGAGTTGCCCTTAAAAGTTATTCAACGTTCGACGGTAAATCAATATTACTCGCCCACTTTTGCCACATATTAATATCTTCAAGGCGCGACCGTAAGTTTTGCATATTCTCCGGCTTTCTTATTCCTCAGATTGTGAAAACGGGGTGGCGTTGTGGAGTATTACGAGGTTCTCGGAGGGGTTGCGGAGTAATGATGATCTTAACAGAACATCGAAGCTGTCACCTGTTTGCCTTGGGAGATCGAAATACAGTCCATGGATTGCTGGCTTTCAGGAACGAATCACATTTGAGCAAATTGAATCGTTTAAAAGAAGTCAAAGTTCATTTACTAAGTACATTGTTCCAGAAGCCGACATCCCCTGCCCAGCCGTGTTCCAATCCTAATCCAGCCAATTCCCAAATGTTCTACCACGGTGTCCGTCTGTTCCTTGGTTGTTGCGCTCGAGGACCTAGAAGAGATAGCTGTCAGCTGGGGTTGACCAGCTGAGTAAGAGACCTTGAAGTGAAGATCACGTCTTGCCAGCCGTTCATCTCATCGCACCCGGGGGGAACTCGCAGTACTCGGCAAGCCGCACACGAGGTGTAAAGGCGCCCAAGGATCGCAGTCCAAGGTCCAACTGCCACTCCGAAGAGTGGACGTGGTTTGAATCGGAATCCCGGCAACGTGCAGACCTCCCTACTGTGCACACAAGGAAGAAACCCCCGAACCAAAGTAGGCCGGTTGAATGGGAATCTTGCATGCCTGTGTACACAGAGGAGTGGAGATGCTGCGCCAACGCCCAGACTGCACGTTTGGCACAACAGAAGTTTCAAAACAGAACAGAGGATCTCTTACCTGTGATGTGGTGTGTGTGTAGTGTGATGTGGTATGATGTGGTGTGTGTGTAGTGTGGTGATGTAGTGTGTGTGTGGTGTGGTGTGGTGTAGTGTGATGTGGTGTGGTGTGGAAGGAGAATGAAAGTGAGCGGGGGGAAACGAGGGATTATATAGACGATGGGAATCGCGTAAAGATTTCGAGATCACTGCGCTAAAACTTCGCCTGTTGACCAACTTGATCACTGATCGATTTTCGTCCAATGAGAGGCATTGCGATCAGGCGAGTGATTAACTTTCTGGCTTTGCTGAGCGAGTGATTAGGTTTGCGAGAGAGATGGCCAGTGTCGAGAAGGGCAGTCGCGAGAAGTCTGCTGCGCTGTGGCTGCCAGCAATGTTCAGTGGCCTCGGGCAAGTTCAAATCGTAGGCAGATGAGCAGACAGTAGAGCACATACGCAACTACCTTAGCCAAGCACAAATATAATTGAGCACGATCTAGTGATGATTCCTCCAGATCATTTGAAGTGCTGATTGCGGAGCATCTCAAGTGCTGCGCAATGAGCTTCGCCCAACGAATTCTACTAGAAGAAACCACTGTCATCCATCAAGCTTTTCTCAAGAACAAAATGCCATTCAAGCGCATATTGCAATTGTTGACTTTGATAGGAGGGTTCTTATCGTCAAACAGTGACGCCTCGAATCTCTCGTTACAACCAACATTCACGTCAAGCCCGAAAGCAGGCCCTCGGCCAGCCGGCCATCTCATATTTTTGGCGAGCGTGTCGAGGAAAGCAATAACCAGATTCACACCACCATAATTGGAAGCAGAGAGAGACTTGAACAGCACGCTGATGCAGGGAAGTGACGCCCTCACCCACACACTCCTGTTGTTGCCCCCAGAAAATCACGACGCACTGGACGCTAAGGAAACATAGTTTCGTGGAACCCGCGTGACTGGAAAAGGAATAACAAACATACAATTGATCAGAACCATCGAAGTAGCAACTTTCTGACTTCTAATAACGAGAAAAAGGGATTTAATCACAAGATCTTCTCATATAGAGGAGAGATGTGGTTGAGAATTGCTAAATGCGGTAAGCGCTTTTTCGGCCGGACCGAGGCGAGGGCCGAAAGATTAACATAGGTACCCTGCACTGGTATCAGATTAGTTTACCTAAGGTACCTACCTAGGTAACGTAGGTACTCGTGACAATAATCGCAACGATAATCGCAACGATAATCGCGACAGTGATAGCGACAGTGACAACGATAGCGACAGTGACAACGATAGCGATAGTCACAACGATAGCGATAGTCACAACGATAGCGACAGTGACAGCGACAATAACAGCGACAATAACAGCGACAATAACAGCGACAATAACAGCGACAGCGACAATAACAGCGACAACGACAGTAACAGCGACAGCGACAGTAACACCCTAAATCCTACTTACCTTACCTATTAGCTGTGTTAAAACAGCGGCGCGCAGGGTAAGGTACGTCAAAATATCTGATACCAGTACAGGGTAGGTATGTTAAAACTTTCAGCCCCTCCTGGTCCTTGCTCGGTTTCTGCTTCTCTCTACAGCTCTCGGTTCTCTTGCTCGGCTGGCCGACCCCGTTGACGGTTATTCGGCTGCCTGACAGGATGTTGGTTATCTCTTGGGAAGGACTTTGGGAATGATCAAGCATTTGTCAACTCCTCTTTGCCGACGCCCGGTCCGACTTTTTATTTTAGGAGGTATGATATAAATCCTTTATTCTATATGATTTTACTATTATCACTAATTAGTGAATATATAAGCGTTGTATAGTACAAGGATACTCCGCATCTGAGTTCCCTGAGGCTTAACAAAACCTACCTAATCATTGTATATAACAACCCTGTCTCCTATATGACCAAACCACCAGACGATCGTCCCATATTCTGGCAATACTAGCCATTCATCAACTCCCTCATCAAGCAGCCCAGAATCCGCCGGTAGTGCGTCTCTTTGAACATTCTTAATATGATTCTTTCTTCTTCCATCGATAATATCAGTTTCATCGATAATATCAGCACTCTGGATCCGTATAGGTGCGAGAACCTCATGCGAAAGGTCTTGGTCCCAACGGATCTGCCCAAGGGATTCAACTTGTCCATTCTGGTAATATAGGAGAAGACCGAGGCAGGGGTGATGCAACTGTTCTTGATCCCTGCAGACTCGCACTTTCAGAAGACCTTTGAGGGGCGCCGTCGTCAGGTACCAAGACGTCGCTAGTGAGCCACCACGGGGTGGGATTGGGGGCGCGCTATAGTGGTAAAGGGCGGGCTCGGGCTCCGGGGGTTTGGTGCAACGTTGGTGCTGGTTGCAGGTGACTCCAAGGTCCGCAATGAAATCTGATGCTGGATCTAGTCCATCGTGAAAAATCCCTGAAATAACACCGTCCCCATCCTCAACTAAGGGATGAAACTCGTAAACCTGTTGTTGCAGCTGGACTGGTGGGTGTGGTCCGAATGTGGCTATTCTTCCTAAAGTCGTTTTGATCTGGATCGGTGAGTGGTAGAGGGAAGAACAGGACGGATTGAACTTACGACTAGTACAGGGTTGGAACCTGGTCCATTGAGGCCTTTAAATTTTCGAATCCAAGCCGCTTCAATGGATTCTCCAACGTTAATCGGGAAGAAAACCCAAAAAACATGACTTTTATTTGAGCGTTGGTTCATCAAGGCGACGAAGGCTTTGAACGCCTTTGACGTGTTTTTTGTGAAAGCATGAATCCCGATATTTTTAGCATTGGAACAACAAACGAGAAGGCCTTGAACATCAGCATTGAGCTTCACATAATGTAGCCGGCAGTTATCCCGAGTGTGATAAATGTTCCTCGGCTGGACTTTTGGCGGATATGGACTGCTCCAGGTCCTGGGCCTGCTATATGAATCTTCTGAGAGGAGCCGAATGCTTCTGACAAACAAGCCCTGTTTTATTCTTAGCTGATGTATACTATACATGGTGATATGTACAAACCAACATCACAGCTAACATGGGCCTCCACATGGGAGCTTGGAACATCGATGATTTCATACCATGGCGACCCATCTGGCGAGGGGTCCGAGTTTTGATCCATAAACTGTACTCGGCGTACGCCAATATGGTCCACTGATAGGACGATCTTTCTGACATGTGCCGGTAGCTTTAGGCGTAGTCTGTCGGAGATGCCTAGGAGTCGTGATTCAAGTGGGGTGTTACTGATTCCTGAAATGTAGGAAATGCCTTGATATTTCGTCCTGGTTATGTAAATCTCTTGTGCCAAGCTGAATCGTCCACATCGAGTTTCGGCAACATTCCGCAACTGTTCAATCAATCGGCGTGTCTCACCAAGCACTATTAAGTACCAGCATGGACTGATAAAGTCCAATATTATGGCTTGGACCTCTGCCGGTAATTGCCCAAGCAACTCTTGTCTGAAACTGTTTTCCATTACATGCTGTGTATAACGGCTAAAGAGCCCTTCCCGAACAGATGCAGCATCTCTTTGTTCTTTGTCTTGAGGTTTGTACAGGGGTTTGACAGCATCTGCGAATTTCCGCAAGTCATCAAAAGTGGGTTTTTCGGAAGTTTTATAGCTGTCTTCCAAGGTGTTGTAGCATTGCTCGTGAAAGGAAACTGCCGGATTTGTGAATATTAAACAGCGGTAACATGGCATTCTACACTCTGGAACAGTAAACCGACTTTGATTCAAATCTGTCAGTTTGGTTAGAAGGGCTCATACTATCAAAAGGGCAGCGTACCAAAGACAACCGATCCAGCCTTTACCGGTTGTCTGCAGAGAAGACAGGACGCTCGCCCAAGATGGATCTCATCACACATCATGTCAAGGCTATCCCCTTGAAATCCAGTAGGATAGCGATTCGTTGGCTGTCATGGAAGTGTGGAGTTCGCGATGTCTTTTGCTTACAAGGAGAAGGACGTTGGTCTTAAACAGGACCAGCCGAGCGTTCGGAACAAAGTCCAACCGAGCCGTGGACGGCTTCTCCGAAAGGAGCTAAAATAGGTACCTTAGGTAAGCGAGAGGTGTTTACGATCTGACACTGTTCGCGATTCTAATACCGTCCCCTAGCGGTAATTCAAATCAAACCGTTCTTTAAATATAACCTGCGACTACACCGTATAAATCATATATGGGAAATGCTAAGGTATATAAGAAAATAATCATTAGAGTGTTCGTGGATGGATGTCGCAAGGTCGCCCCGTCAGATATTCGGGTACCTAAGCTAGTGGGTTTAGTCCGACCAGCTAAAGGTACCGGCAACCCAGAAGAACCTTTAGGGACTTTGTATATTATTTGTTCTGATTCGAGCTTTTGGATAAAGGAGCAGAAGTTAGAAGAGTTATCTGGGTTACTTAGATGAGAGCACTTGAGAGAGGACTCGCCCCACTACTGCCTGAGTTCATTGTACACAGCCGTCTCGACGTTGGCCCACAAATTAAGAACCTTCACGTCTACGAAGGGTAAGATCTGTGTGGTGACTATCCCCGCGACCCCCTTCTCCCTATCACACCACCACCAGCAATTGCAAAGACCCGCCCACCAACCCGTGCTCGCAGATCGCCCCGAAGGGCCCCCCGAGATCATGAACGTGAGGCCCCAGCCCTGGGGCTTATTGTCAGGAATCGGATAGATGTCCGGGACGGGGTTCGTAAGCCAGTTCTTCGCATCGGGGATTCCCTGGCGACCAAAGTCGGGGAATTGCGGGATCTGGTTGCGGAACATTTCGTCGACCGTGGCTTTCTGGAGGATTTGAGCGCCCGTCTTGGGCGATTTGCCGTCGTTGAGTAGTGTGGCTAGGATCTCTGCATTATTGTGAGCTTATGAGGGATATACTATTTGGAGAGCTTAAACTTACGAGCATATTCGCGGGGTTTGGCAAAACATCCAGCGCCTCCACTGTTGAGAACTCCCTTCTTCTCTTCCTCAGTGGTGACAATCAAAGGACGGCGATGAGGATGATCATATGGCGAAAGTGTTCCATCAGGGTTCCGAAACTGCATGTGTGCCAGGTGGGCTTTCATGGATTCTGTAGGGAACATCGAGATGTTCTCTATGCCGAGGGGTTCGAATATATGCTTCTTCATGTAATCATTTAGGGATAGACCCGTTACACGTTCGAGAAGGATGCCGGCCCAATCGATTCCAACCTGCGTGGGGAAAGTCGTCAATATGCAATCATGTGTAGGTTAACTGGGCGAGTCTTACACCGTATTGCCATCCCTCCCCTGGCTGATGAACGAGTGGCTGCGTTATATCATAAATATGCCCCGAAAATTCGTCGTAGCCAATTGGCTTGTTGTAGTCCCGAAGCTTGGTGTTGAAGAAAGTGTACCCGAACCCAGCTATGCGTGGTAGTTAGCTTTGAATCTATGGATTTGATCTGTGGACGTACCAGTATGAGTGAGCAACATTCTCAGAGTGATGCCTCTCTTCTTTTCCACTATCGTCCCATCATCTTGCAAGACTCCAACCGCTTTGAGCTCAGGACAAATCTTCTCTACCTGCGCCGAGTCGTCCAAGGCCAATTTTCCCTGCTCAACGAGTTGCATACAAGCTATGCCAGTGATCATCTTGGTGCAAGAAGCAATCCAGAAGATGCTGTCGAGGGTGATAGGCTCTGAGGACCCAACCCCGCGATGTCCCGCTGCGTGCGCAAACAGCTCTTCTCCACCCTTGTCCACGACCACGACATTGACCCCAGGGATGCCATTCTCGCGATCCGCGCAGGACTCATCCGTCACCTGTTGAAGACTCTTCACTGTAGCCGCAGATAATTTCCCCATGTTTGAGGCTTTGAGCGCGTCTGCGTAGGATGTTTAAGCGGTGGATTGAGTAGAAAACGCAAGGAGTGATTTGAAAGTGCTGCGATAGAAGTTTAGAACCCCGCAAAAGGTGGACGCGATACATCCATTATGTACACCCACACGCCTGACCCCAACCGCGTCATGCTGACCAATATATCCGCGGCTACTCTGATGTTTGGCGGGGAAAACCCAACCCCGCATGCTCTGTACCTTGCCGACTCGTGTGCCGCACTGTTGTTGCTCCGCATTGTTGCAGTTCGATATTGCGGATCCGCATCTGGGGTTGCGGATCCGGATGCGCGAATCAAGGGCGAGCCCCTTACTCCGCAGGTTCTCCGTGGGGATAGCGGTAAAACGCCTTTGGTCCGTCCTGGCAAGTTACCCTCAACAACAAGATACATTCGGGGTTCAGGATCGGCTCGAGCCTCCGACGGCTGTACGGAGAACTAACTCTTCGTCACGAGTTAGCATAGACTAAATCGATACCTTAGGTAATAAGTGTAGAAACCAGACATAGGCGAGAATGATAGGTCATCTGCAGCAGTGAGTGCGCGGGCCAACATGACTCTGATCATGTTAAAAATGAGAAATAAATATCTATAGAACAGATGAAGTCTCTGTACTGCTAGTATTGCAATATGCCACGTGCGCATCGGGGACTGGAAATAACAAGGCAATACTCCGTACGAGAATCGATAATCATAGGTCTGCCAACCGAGCGATAAGACTTTGCCCCGCATAGAGCTAAGATAAGAACCGGCACTTGCAGGCTTTAGTGGATATTAGCGCATACCTAGCGTAAAATCTGCACCGGCACATTGCAAATTTTAGATTCCAATTTCAATAAGAAAGGGGGGAACGTGTAGCTCTGTATTGGGACAGTTGTGCAAACCAATCCTTATTTCATCTGAAGCATTATTGCGTGAGATATAGGGGAGTGAAAAGTTTTGTTGCACGTCGCAAACCTCGAAATCTCTCCCCGCATATTTGAGGCGCACCAATAACACGAGGAGCGCAACAGTCGTTCTGGTTTTGTTGCACGTCGCATTCGTGACCTGCATGAGGCGGGCCTGGCTACTGCAGGCTAATGCAAGCTAGTGCGTACTAATAGAACCTAGCCTTTTAGGCTAATTTCGTACGGGTACTTTAGTAGCGTAATCCCTAATCTGATCTGAAATCGACCAAAATTTAACCCCTCCGATCTTTCTAAATAATACAGAAACAAGACCTCTACTTCTGCCCTTTCACCCGCACTATTTAAATTCTTTATCGGTGTAGTATTGCTTGAGATATTAAGTGTTGAAAAAAAGGGTATTGTTTGGGGGGTCGCGATGTGCAACAAAGCGGCGGAGTCTCCGGAAATCAGGCTAAATACAGTCCGGAGGTGAGAATATTCCGTTCCGCCCCACCACCCCGCTTCCCCTTCCACCCCTCCACTTCGTCCCATCACGGCTTCATTCTGCTTCATTCTACTTCATTCCCCTTCCCCTTCCAACAATCTCTTCCTGCTAGCAAACCCCTCCTCCTCTCAAGCACCAGCCATCGATCTCCAGAACAATGGCCCCGCCACCACCCTTCAGCTTCCTCCCGCTCGGCGCCATCATCCAATCCTTCCTCGTCGGCTCGACGAACATCGTGCAAGGCTTCCCGTCGCAGGAGCACTATATCTCGCACAACACGCCCTTTTTCGGCGAGACGATTGGAAGAGTAGCGAATCGTATCTCGGGCGCAACAATCCAGTCTCTGAACAACCAGTCGTATAAGTTAGAGGCAAATAATGGTGGGAATGCCCTACACGGGGGTGTCAAGGGTTGGGGAAAGAGGGTTTGGGATGGTCCGCATCCGATCGGGCTTAGAGAAATTCAGGGTCTGGAAGGAAAGCTGGATGGCGGTGAGAGTGTTAAATTTACACTGAAGAGTGAACATGGCGAGGAGGGATATCCAGGGACGGTGCAGGCAAGCGTCGTGTATACGTCGGGGACACAGCGGAGCAAGGAGGGGAAAGAGGTTAGGGTCTTGGGGATCGAATATGAGGTGCAGTTGGTGGGTGACGAAGTTGACGAAACGGTTGTCAATGTTACGAACCATTCGTATGTCCCCCCTATTTCTATCTTCCCTATCGTTTTGCTCGATTTCCAGAATTCAAATCCATCCATGTATGTGATGGAAAGGCAAGGACAGACGGCTCATTGATTATGAACAGCTATTTCAATCTTTCCGGCACCCCAACCATCGCCGGGACCGAAGTCGCTCTTTGCACCTCCTCCTACCTCCCCGTCGACAGCGGTGGGATTCCCACCTCCGTCCAAACCGCAACCTACCCCGGCATAACCCCAAACACAGTATTCACCCTTGGCCCCACCGATCCCGACATCGACGATTGCTTCATCGTCTCCCCATCCGAAACCTCCTCCATCCCTCTCGACACGCGCTCCTCGCGCCTCAACAAGCTAATCTCGGCGTACCATCCACAGACCAAGATTCATCTGGAAGTGCTGAGCACGGAACCGGCGTTTCAGTTCTACACAGGCAAGTATATCGATGTCCCAGAGATACAGTGGGAAGGGGGGAAGGTGGAGGCTCGGGGCCCGAGGAGTGGGTTTTGTGTGGAACCGAGTCGCTATGTGAATGCGGTCAATGTGCCGCAGTGGAGGGACCAGGTGGTGTTAAAGAAAGGGGAGGTGTATGGGAGTCGGATTGTTTACAGAGGATGGAGTGATGAATAAAACCTACGACAATACAAAGGACATGAAGGGAGATAAGATGAAAAGCTGATATGGATATAATTTGGAATTTTGATGGCCATTGGCAATCTCCAAGCATATAACAGTATTTTAATTCCAATAATTGTTTCCAAAACGTGTAGGTAAGGTAAGGTAAGGTAGGTAATTGACCTGATAGTACTTTTCGTGTTTACGATGTCTTCAATGATTCAATCTGTCCTTAAGAGGCTACCATATTCAGCTTGTACTCGTAAACGTTGAATACCATTTCCCAAGTCCAGCACGGATTACTCAGGTTATCAAACTCTGGCACAGAAAGCAAAAAGAAAGGCATCATTCAGCCGCCCAAAAGAGCTAATTATATACATGACTGCCATGCGAATTGGATACTTACGGTTGGGCCCGCCTAGGACATCCAAGCCTGTTCGGCCTACGGCCTACTAATTGCAAGGAGCCTAGTTGAAGCTTACCCGTGAAGCAGAGCAATAAGCAGAGGGCCCAATATCCTCCAAGCCGCCCAAAAGAGCTAATTATATACATGACTGCCATGCGAATTGGATACTTGTGGTTGGGCCCATCTAAGATATCCAAGCCTGTTCGGCCTACGGCCTACTAATTGCAAGGAGCTTATTTGAAGCTTACCCGCGAAGCAGAGCAATAAGCAGAGGGCCCCAACCCCCC